TGTGCGTTCCCCCCCTCCACACACACACCCCGGCCCTGCCCAGCACACGCTTGCCTGCCCACATTTGCATCTGAAAGCGCTGGGTCAGTTGCCCTTTGACCCCCGGGGCTGGGCTGGCGACTCTGAAAGGCTTCAAAGCCTGTTTTTTGGGAGGGGGGCGAAGGAGAATGAAGAGCCCCTTGTGGTGGGTCAGTTGCTGTCGGAAGGAAGGCCGATTTCTATAGCCCTGGAAAACAAGGCTGCCCTCCCCAGCCCTCCGAGTCTGCCTGTGTGTGAGAGAGAGCGAGAGAGCTCGCACTTGTAAAGGATCCACTGTTTTCCTGCTGTTTTTTTGCAATGTTTGTGTGACTCGACTTTCAGGTCAGTTTCCTCTGCTTGCCCTTCACACACACCCCTCTTCTGCCTTCTCCCCCTTTGGAAGTCTGGATTTTTATATATATACAAAAACATACATGCAAAAAAAGCACATTTCATGTAGAAATCCAGAAAGCCAAAATCCACACAGAGAATAAACTCATTCCAATGAGAAATGCAGTCAGTGACTTTTGATTCCCAGAAAGTGAGCCTCCAGTAGCCCATGTAATTTACACCCGATTTTAAACCACCTCCTAAATTTTACTCCTGGGGTGACTTTTGGAGCAGCCCCCCCTTCCACCACAAGACTTCCTATTTTATTTCATTTCATTTCTGCCATTGGGCTACGGTCAAGATCTCCCCTTCAGGCTTCATTGAATCTGTACCATTCCGAAAGCATCTACATTTGCAAGGTTAGCAAAACCTCCCTTCCAGCATTGCCTGGGAAGTCTGTTTTCATTATGTGGGTGATACTCCGAATTACTATTAGAGGGCTCTAATTATTAGCTTATCAGTTTTATCTTACAGACTCCAAGGACTTAAAATGAGCCCATTAAAACACAGATCCTGGGTCCCTCTTTGCTGAACGGAGACAACAGTTGGGGTGTAAAAATGATACAATTTAGGTCACTCTGGTAGGGGAGATCTGGGCCTGGAGATCTGGGATCGGGTGCTTTCTTAAAAGTGGGGTGCTGCTTGTGGGGGGAACAGGTCGAGCCTTTCTGTGGGTTCGGCATCACCTGGACACGGACTAGAGGAGTTTATAGACCTGGCTGGCTGTTCTCCTTTTGAACCCAGGACCGGAGGAAAGCAGAGGGACCTCTCCATTCCTGGATGGCATCCAGAGGCTCACATTGCTCAGCCCATGAGCCTCGCCACATGCACCGGTGGGCTTGATCCTGAGCTTGGGTGGGGGTGGGGGGGGCTCCACCACCACGCTTATGGGCTCCCCACTGCAAGGGGAAGCACGTTTTACTGGTCAAAATGGAGTGTGTATTTGTTCATTTATGGCACCTGGCTAAAACCAGGAGATGAGGAGTTCTAGTCCCACCTTAGGCACGCAAGCTGGCTGGGTGACTTTGGGCCAGTCCCTCTCTCTCAGCCCAGCCCACCTCACAGCATTGTTGTTTTGGGGAAAAGGGAAAGAAAAGGCGCATTAGGTATGTTCACCACCTTGAGTTGTTTATAAAACTTAACAAAGGCAGGATATAAATAAAATACATAATAAAATCTTCACCTCAAGGTGAAGGCTCTTCCCAAGGACAGATGAAGATATTTAAAAAAGGCAGATAGCAAAAAAGCCAACGCAGTTCTAGGCTGCATAAACAGAGGGATAGAACCAAGATCAGGTGAAGAGTTGATACCCCTTTTAAGGCTGCACCTGGAATTCTGCATCCAGTTTTGGTCACCACAATATTAAAAAGATGTTGAGACTCTAGAAAGAGTGCAGAGAAGAGCAACAAAGATGGTTAGGGGAATGGAGGCTAAAACATATGAAGAGCAATTGTAGGAATCTAGTCTAGAGAAAAGAAGGACTGGAGGGGACATGATAGCAGCATTCCCGTATCTGAGGGGCTGCCACAAAGAAGAGTTGGGGGTCAACTTATTCTCCAAAGCACCAGAAGGCAGGAAAGAAACAATGGATGAAAACTAATCAAGGAGAAGAGCAACCTGGAATTATGGTAAATTTGTCTCAAATGGTATAGGGTTTCTTGCCTGAGCAGGGGGTTGGACTAGAAGACCTGTAGAGTTCCTTCCAACTCTATTATTCTGTTAAATTTTAATTCCAGGCACTGGGGCCTTGACATTTTCAGGTGCAGATCAGAACATGAAAAGGGAGCCTCTTAGCACACCTTCACCTTCCGAGGCCATTGGAGATTCTAGCTTAATTTTCAGTTTGATGTCACCGCATTTAGTCTGATGGTTTGTCTGATGCATTGTGTTTTTTCATGTTGCTTCACGGCGTTGCAACAGAGGTTGTGCTTTTAATAATTTTCTTTCCAACCTCAGCAGCCTTGCCTTGCAACATCCTCCTTCAATCTCCAGCTACATACCTGCCCTCCATTAATTTTTCTTTTTTTAAAACAATAAGCGGCACCAGTGAGGACAGTCTGCGTGGCTTTCTCAACAGAGAAGTTTCAAAACCTCAGATCCAGGGTGGTGATGAAACTGAGTTTTCGGGATGATTTTATTTCAGAAAACAGGGCACCCCCTTCCTGGCTTGTCTCTTGCTCGTTCTCCTGCAGCTTCCTGTCCTCCGGGAAGTCCCCATTCTCTGACAGCCCCTTTGACTTAGGTAGACGGCCTCCACTTGGGGGGGTGGGGGTGGGGCTGCAGGTGGGCTGCTTTCTGCCTTTATTAAGGCAACATCAATCACCCTGGAGCCCAGCGAGGGGGGGCTGTGCAGAGAAGGAGAGACCCAAGAGGAGCTCACAACTTCTGGGTTCAGCCGAGACCCAGCGGTCAGATGTTCAAGACTGCCCCTCTGTGGGGTCAGCACTCCTTTGCCGAAGGAATATTTATCAAGCCTCTGTCTGGCCTTCACCTTTGATCTTGCTGACAGCGGTGGAAAAATGAATAAGGGGAGGGGGCGAGTTGCAGTAGATAATGGATGGAACTGGGAGGGTGGGGGGAAAGCTGTGGTGGAGAGCTGGATGTGCTGGGAAGCCGGGCCCTTGTGGAGTTCCCACCCAAAGCCCCCCCCCCCCCCCCCCCCCCCCCCCGCAGGCGCCAGGTTGAAGAAGCCAAGCTAGGACAGGGACTCCATTTCTTCATTTTTAAGGAAAACATTGGTATATTCCCAGGGTGGACCCAGGAGAGAGGGAGGGGGGGAGGGGGAGAGAGAGAGGCTGCCAGGGCTCCAGGCGCTCCCAGGTGCCTCCTGGGAGGAGCAGCACAGCGCAGAGTGAGCCCCCGGGGGGTGTGCGGTGGGCTGGAGGGGCAGAACGTGGGGAGAACGGAGTTAAACGGGCTTCGGGGCGGCAGAAGCCCCAAGAGGAAGGCGCCTGACGGCGCTGGAGAATCCCCCTCAAGAGTCTGGGGAAGGGGCTGCAAGAAGGGATGGGCAGCCTGGCTAGAAAAGGGCTGAGGAACATGGATCTGAATAGAATAGAATAACAGAGCTGGAAGGGACCTTGGAGGTCTTCTAGTCCAACCCCCTGCTTAGGCAGGAAACCCTACACCACTTCAGACAAAGGGTTATCCAACATCCTCTTTAAAACTTCCAGTGTTGGAGCATTCACAACTTCTGGAGGCAAGGGGTTCCACCGATAAAATTCTCACTGTCAGGAAATTTCTCCTTAGTTCCAGGTTGCTTCTCTCCTTGATCTGGGGGAGAAGGAGGGCCAAGCCTCTTGCTGAGGGCCCAGAGGTGGCTCCTGGCAAGACATCTGTGCCCCGAACCTGCCCCTGCCCTCCAGCCTGCCCCCGAGACCTCTTGCCTTTGGGTCACTTCTCTGCAAGGAAAACAAATCCTCCCTTGAAAAGTGGAAGGCCGGGTGGGGTCCCAGGTGTGCTTGGATGGGGCACCACCAGGTAATCACAGGGGCAGAACCTGAGCTGGGAAGCTCAACCCAAGACATGGTGGACAAAGACCCCAGCAAACCCCTCACTTCTGTTGTTTTGCTAAGGACACTTTAAGCAGACTCTAGCCTGGCTGGACTGCTCTGGAGAAACCCGGGCAGGTCCGAAGAAGAGCCCCTCGGACACCGGGGATGGGGTGGGCAGCCAGGGTGATGCACCTGGGACCTGATCCTTGGCTCTCGGGCCAAATTGTCCAAGGGGAGCCTGGGAGGAGGAGGGGAGGGGCAGGGCTTTTCAAACGTAGCCACCTTAAGAGGAGTGGCCTTCTAGAAATGGCCTTGCTGGTTGGGGGATTTTGGGAATTGAAGTCTGAAAAAAAACCCAGCTATGGGATCCCAGGTGTCTGGACGCACCTTTTCCAAGCCACGTAGGTTAATAAATGCTGCAGCTGAGGAAAGCTGCTGCCTTTTCATTAAATTCGTGAGTTGGAAAGATTGCATTGCACCCAACTCCCTTGGGACGTGGGCAGCAACAGGTAAGCCCAGTGGAGACGATCTGAAGGACATCCCCCACCCCCACCCCCAGTCAGGAGAGGAAGGGGCAGAGAAAAGGGGGCCTCTGGGCCCCTGCACGGCAGAGCTGGCGGTTCCTGGCACAGTAATGAGATTAAGTGATTTTATCCTCAAATTCATCCCAAACTCTCTTCTCCCTGGGACCAGAAATGGGCCCCAAACATCAAGGGGGCAGTCAGGGCAGGAGCCTGGGTTCTGGAAACCTGGAAAGCAGAATAAGAGAGTTGGAAGGGATCTTGGAGGTCTTCTAGTCCGACCCTCTGCTCAAGCAGGAGACCCTTGAACCATTGCAGACAAACGGTTGTCCAACCTCTTCTTAAAAACCTCCAGTGTTGGAGCATTCACAACTTCTGGAGGCAAGTCGTTCCATTGATTAATTGGTCTCACTTTTAGGAAATTTCTCCTTAGTTCCAGGTTGCTTCTCTCCTTGATGAGTTTCCTCCCATTGCTTCTTGTCCTGCCCTCAGGGGCTTTGGAGAATAGGTTGACTCTCCCTCTCCTTTGGGGCAGCCCCTGAGATACTGGAAGGCTGCTATCCTGTCCCCCGTCCTTCTTTTCATTAAACTAGACCTGCCCAGTTCCTGCAAGCGTTCTTTATACGTTTTGGCCTCCAGCCCCCTAATCATCTTACCTTTGACACTCTAACCAGCCCGGTCAGGAAGGATGTTGGCAGCCGCCCCAAAGGATTTTTTCCCTTCAGCTTTAATTCCAGCCGCTGGGAGGGGGGAGGGGCGGCCTCCTCGCTTGACCCCTTGCACTCATTTCTAAAATCACTTTGTTTGAACGTTGCCATCAGGATTGCTCTGCATTTCCCGGCTTTCTTCTTGACAACATCCTGTGCAGTTATCTGGATATTTTCGGCGTCCAGGATACATCATCTTCCTCATCCTCATTTTTTTTTTTTGCAGTTTCAGACTCCTAGGGACCTTGGAGGTCTTCTAGACCAACCCCCTCGACCAAGGTTGGAGACCTTATAGAGCAAGCCCAGTTTTGCTGATGTTGATCTCAAAAATGAACCACTTCACGTTTCTTCTTCTTCTTCTTCTTCTTCTTCTTCTTCTTCTTCTTCTTCTTCTTCTTCTTCTTCTTCTTCTTCTTCTTCCTCCTCCTCCTCCTCCTCCTTTCCTCCTCTTTCTCCCCCTCCCCCTTGTCCTCCTTAATGATAAACACCATCATTAAAAATAAACCCTCTTTCATAACTAATTTTTTAATTTAAAAATACAGAAATTAAAAGAGCTGCTTAAAAAAGAGAAACCACCCCCCACCCTATTAGCTAGAATGGCTTCCAGCAGAACATCAAAAGGAGCCTTGGGATGAGGGATGAGGCTGGTGGAGTGAAGGAAGCGGGAGGATGGAGGCTGGTGGTGCAGATGGGGGTAAATTGTGGGACGGATTAATTAATTCTCAGCAGGTTAAGAAAAACCTTCGTGTCCCTGAGAGCTTCTGGGAAAACCCTGAACCTGCAAAGGCTTCCAGAAAAGGGATGCCAACAGAGATGTCTGCATATCCAAAGTTGCTTCTCACCATGTCGGTGAAAAGAGCCTGCGGGATCCGGGAGCCACAAAGAACGATCCGCTCCCTCCCTCCCCTTTGCAAAGCCCCAGTGCCTCTGGTCCAGAAAGAAGGGGAAGAAGGCAGGGAACCCACACCTGTGTGATGTCATGGTGGGGGCCTGGGCGAAGGGAGGCTGCCAAGGGAACGGACAGATAAGAGCCAGCGTAGCCCACAGCTGCATAACAGGCAATAGCAGCAGCGCTTAGACTTATATACCGCTTTGTAGTGCTTTACAGCGTCTTCTGAGTCAGCACACAACTATCTGGCTCCTCATTTGACCCACCTCGGAAGGATGGAAGGCTGAGTCAACCTTGAGCCAGTCAGGATCGAACTGCTGGCAGTGGGCAGAGTTAGCCTGCAATCCTGCGTTCTGACCATGGGCCACCAGGGCTTTCAGAGAGGAGCAGAGGAGGGTTTCGCCCAACCTCTCAGCCTGTTAAAAGGGCAGCGGGAGCTTTGTACTTTCAGGCCTGCAAACAGCTTTACCATTTACGCTCATGCGGCCCTGATCCCTGCCTGCTCTACCTGGCAAGGCTGACAGGCCTTCAGGGGGGAATGGCCCTTGCCCCCCCCCTTTGCTGGTCAGTAGATGTGTTTGTGTGTGTCCAGAAAGCCTCACTTTCTGCTCCACAAAGTGGACGGGATTTCCAAATTCCCGGGTGGGTCCCTGGTGCTCTCATCTGGCGCAGGGGCCTGGGGGAGGCCGGTGGGAGCCCCTGCGGGCACTTGGTCCTGCAGCTGCCGGAGGGTTTGCAGGAGCGCCTGGCGCTGCTTGGCCTGGCGCCTGGCCATCAGCCCCATCTGGGTCTCCAGCTGCCCCACCTGGCTCTCCTGCTTGTGACGGGCCTTCTGGTAGGTGAGGAGCAGGGCGCTGCGAGGAGGAGAGAGGGGTGAAGGGGGGGCTGAGAAGGGGGGCCCAGAGCAGCCCAGGGAAGGACCGGTGGGATCCAGAGACAGCAGGATAGGTCTTCCCCAGATGTGCTGGCTGAGGGAGATGGGAGTTTTAACCCAACACATCTGGGGGGGGAAGGGACCGCAGGAGGCTGGGACAGCCCAGCTTCTGTTTTCCTCCTGGCCACTCCATGCTGGTAGACTGCTGCTGTCCATGGTGGGTTTAATCTTAATGCCACACCTCATCAGTTTATGGAGAAAGTTTCTAAGACCCCTTGGAGGGTTCAGAGGCCGAGGGGCCACCGGGGAAAAGGGGGAGCCCCTCCCCTCACTTACCTATGGGCCTGGAAGAAGTCCTGCATGAGCTCCATGTCCTGTGCCTCATGGGCCCTGTAGTCCTGGCTCTTCTCCTCCAGGTCAACCCAAAGACCCTCCAGACGTTCCTTCAGTGCCTGGATCCTGCAGAGAGCCAGAGGAGGTCAAGGTGGGGATGAGGGAGCTCAACCTCCCCCCAGGATCAGCAAACCCGACTTTCATTGGCAGCCTGCATGCCGCCCAGGAGGGGACGATGGGGGCCGCAAGAGGGAACCCTGCTCTCATACGGGTGGGGTGGGGGTGGGGGGTGGCATTCCTTTCCACCCGTCCCAAAAAAGCAGATGGAAGGCAGGAAACGAAGACCCATCCCCTGCGGGGACCTCGACTTACCACCATTTATTTAGTGACTGTTCAAAGTTACGATGACACTGAATAACGTGACTTGTGACCATTTTTCATACTTACGACCATGGTAGCATCCCCACGGTCACGGGATCAAAATTCGGAAACTGGGCAACCGTCTCCTATTTATGACGGTTGCAGAGTCCCCAGGTCACATGACCTCCATCTGCGCCCTACCCAGCGGGCTTCTAAGATGCCAAGTCAAAGGGGGGGGGAGCCAGGTTCGCTTAACGACCGCATGATTCACTTAACAACTGCAGCAATTCCCTTAATGACCGTGGCAAAAAAAGTTTGCAAACTCGGGTGCTCAACAGCCACCTTGCTTAGAAACACAAACTTCTGTTGTGAATTGTGGTCATAAGCCAAGGACCTACGTTAAGTACCGTGTGCCAGCTGTGGGATGAAGATTTAACGTTTTCATCTCCAAAAACCGAGGTGGAAATGGAGAGATTCCATTTGAATATCCAGGCTAAGATTTCCAGCACAGGAGCTCAGGCGAGGAGGAGGAGGATGGAGAACCAGAGCTTCTTTCTCTGGCTAAGGGCCCAGAGCGAAGCTGGCCCTGGTGGGACTGGATAGGACTTACCTGGGCTTTAGAGATCAACGCTGCCAATTGTGCTCTCAGCCTGAACCTCTGCTGGGCCAGAGCTTTGCACTTGGCTCTTCAAATCCCCGGGATTTTTTTTCACAGTTAAAAAATAATCTAAGCAATTTAATGTGCCTTGGCAGAGAGAGAAGCGGGGGGGGGGGGTGTTCTCTCACAACCCAACAATTCACACACACACACCAGGGAATTTTCCCTTTTTCTTGGAGCCCTACATGATGCCAATGGAGCGGATCCAGCACATGGCAGCTCAAGTGCTGGCTCTCTATTTTATTTTATTTTATTTTATTTTATTTTATTTTATTTTATTTTATTTTATTTATTTTATTTTATTTATTTTATTTTATTTATTTTTTTATTTTATTTTATTTTTTTTATTATTTTATTTTATTATTTTATTTTATATTTTATTTTATTTTATTATTTATTTAGTTTTTTATTTTATTTATTTTTTTATTTTATTTTATTATTTTATTTTTTATTTATTTTTTATTTTATTTTATTTTATATTTTATTTTACTTATTTTATTATTTTATTTTATTTTATTTTATTTATTTTATTATATTATTATATTTTATTTATTTTATTATTTTATTATTTTATTTATTTTTATTTTATTTATTTTAATTTATTTTTTAATTTTTATTTTATTTATTTTTAATTTTTATTTTATTTATTTTTAACATTTGTTTGCCACCCGCCTCGCTGCAAAGGGAACCTTACCGAGCCGAAGTCTCCAGCACTCGGAGCATCAGGGCTTCCGGCTCCCTCCGGGCCAGGCTTCCCTCCGCGTTCTTGGGTGCAGCCGGAAGGGTCCTCTGGGGAAGGCTGTTGGGAGCCTTGGCAGAGGAGAAAGCAGCTGAACTCCTTGCTCAGGACGGAAGCATTTGGGGGTGGGTTGTGCATTAAGTGATGGTTTCTCCTTGACCAAGGAGCCCCCTTCCCCTAAGTCATCTCCTGCCTTGACTACTGGAATGTGCTCTACGGCGGAGGGGGGGCTGCCCTTGGAAAGTATCCGGGAGCTTCAATCGGTTCCAAATGCGGCAGCCTGCACGCTTTGGGCAAGTCTAGATTTGCACCCAGGTCCCTCTCTTGCGGGAGTTGCATGGCTGCCAATTTGCTTCCGGGTCCAATTCGAGGTGCTGACGGTCACTTTTAAGAGAGGTGCCACCTTGGGAGAGCCGTCGGTGGCGCAGTGGTCAGAATGCGGATTTGCAGGCTAATTCTGCCCACTGCCAGCAGTTCGATCCTGAGCAGCTCCAGGTTGACTCAGCCTTCCGTCCTTCCGAGGTGGGTAAAATGAGGAGCCAGATTTTGGGGGGCAAGAGGTTAACATTTGGTAACCACTCAGAGAGTCCTATGATGCACTTATGGGTGGGTATACGTCCACCCATAAGTGCACTGCTATTCCGGGCAGGTGGGTGTCCAGTCTCTTCTGGAAAGCCTCCAGTGATGGATCACCCAAGCACTTCTGGAGGCAACAGATTCACTATTTTCCCCCCCTGCTGGATCTCTCCTTTGCAAGCCCCACCCGTTGCTTCTTCTCCTGCCTTGTGGTGCCTGGGATAATAGCTTGACCCCCCCTCCTTCTCTGTGGCAGCCCCTCAAATATTGGAAGGTGCTGGTGAGAAGCAACTTGGAAGTCAGGAGAAATTTCCTAATTGTTCTGAGTTAGAACAATTAACCAGTGGGACTGCTTGCCTCCAGAAGTTGTGGGTGCTCCAACACTGGAAGTTTTGAAGAAGAGACCGGAGAACCCTTTGTCTGAAGTGGCGTAGGGTTTCCAGCCTGAAAAGGGGGTTGGACTAGAAGACCTCCAAGGTCCCTTCCAACTCTGTTACTCTATTCTATTCACCCCTGGTCCTTCTCTTTGTTAGACCAGTCCTTAGGCCACTTTGGGCCAATCGCCGGAGGTGGGCTGGCCATCCTTCCCTACACAACTGGAAACCCTCCCCAACACACCCGGCTATTGTGGGTACAAAATGGGGCATCTCAAAGGGGGGGGGAGGGGTCGGAGGCAACCCTTGGCGCTTCCTGAGGTTCCTGGGAGAGCAGAGGAAGGGGGGAAGGGGAGGGTCTGGGGTGGGGAGAAAGGTTTTTGCGGGAGGCTTTTACCCCGGAGTCTTCCTCTTCGCTGCTGCTGCTGCTGCTGCTTTCTGAGGAGGGGTCTGGCTGTCCCCGGAGGTCTCGCTGCTCCCCCTGGAGGGTCCGGATCACCAGCAGGCAGGCAGCCTCCTGGGCGGGGAGCGTCTGGGTCCAGAGCGCCAGCCCCTGCTTGGCCTTGGCGGTGAGGTGCAGCCTGGTGCCCAGGTCAGCCAAGGCCTCCTGAGGGGGGGCAGAAGGAGACAGGTGGAGGGAGAGAAGGGGGCCTAGGGACAGCCCCCCCCCCCGGTGTTTTGGGGGCGCAGAAGAGGGGAGGTCTCCTGCTTCAGCAGACCTCCAAGGTTCTCTTCTGTTCTTCTTCCTCTTCCTCTTCTCTTTGCCTCTATTCCTGTTCCTATTTCTCTTCTACTCTATTCTATTCTCTGGGCTCCCCCAGGCAATGCAATTCAGGCTCATCAGCCCCAGGGACTAAACCCCTTCAGTTTAAGGGCAGACCCCACCCCAAAGACCAAATGGCTGCTTGGGGGGAGCAGAGGGGAGGCAGAGAGTGCAGCCTGGGTCCATTCAATATATTCAAATGATTTGCTTGACTTGTGACCACAATTGGGAGCAGAATTTCCATTGCTAAGCAAGCGGTTGTTAAGTGAGGCATGTCAATTTTATGACCATTTTTTCCCAGGGTCGTTAAGTTAATCACTGCAGCTGTTAAGTGAATACATGGTCATTAACCGAATCCAGCCTCCCCATCAACTCTGCTAGTCCAAAGCTGGCTGGGAAGGTTGCAAATGGTGACCGCGTGGCCCCAGGATGCTGCAGCCGTCATACATACAGGCAGTCCTCGACTTACGTCGGTTCACTTAGTGACTGTTTGAAGGTTGAAGTTACAACAGCACTGAAAAAAGGGACTTAGGAGCCTTTTTCACACTTAATGGACACTGCAGCATCTCCCCCCCCCAAGGTCAGCTGATTTAAGTTCAGATGCTTGACAACTGACTCACATTTATGACGGTCGCAGTGTCCCCGGGGTCACGTGATCCCCTTTTGTGACCTCCTGACCAGCAAAGTCAAGGGGGGGGGGGAAGAGACCCTGTGACTAATTTGAGAACTGCAGTGATTCGCTTAACAACGATGGTGAGAAAAACAAGGCAAAACTCACTTAACAAATTTCTCACTTAGCAACATAAATTCTGGGCTCAGGTGTGATCGTAAGTGGAGGACCAGGAGCATTTGGCCAGCCCAGATTTTGCAGAGGTATAAAAGAAAAGTGGGGGGACCCCAGGGAAGGAGCCCCCTGAAGAAAACAGATGAGAAACAGAAGCGAAATCTGCACGGAATGGAGGAGGACGGGTAAAGGTCGATCTTTGGCTGGCCGGCGGGAGCGCTTTGCACTGCCACGTTTCGCTCTCGCTTGCTCACAAAACCCCAAGGCCAGTGCTAACCTCTCTTTCTCCACCCCCCCCACCCCCCTCCCCCCAAAGATGGGACCCTCGGCCCCTTCCTCGCAGGCTCACCCGGGCCGTGTGCAACTCCCGCAGCAGCTGCCCCTTCTCCATCCGGGGTGGTGCGGCTGAGCCAGGAAGCGCCTCCTGCAGGGCCCTCCGTCCCTCCGTGGCCTTGGCCGCAATGCCCGCGCTGAGCCTGGCGGCCACGGCGACCAAGCCCGGAGGCGGAGGGTGGGCGGGCAGCTTCAGGGAACTCTGCTCAGCCCGCAGGTGCCCGATGCGTTCCCACAGCCTCTGCTTGGCTTCTGCCTCGGAGCCCGTCGGTTGCAGGGAACTGGAAGGAAAGCGGATTTCGGAAACTTTGAGGCCGGTGGACTTTGACTCCCAGAATTCCCCAGCCAGCTTTGCCTCCGGCCCCCCCAGATGGATGGAGAAAGTCCCTCTCTTAAGACTAGCCGGGTTCTTCCAGGGAAGCTTTGGACTCGGAGCGCCCCTTCCTCTCTGGGTCTTCCTCCCAGCCCTCCTCCTGCGATGGATGGCCCAGCCCCCAAATCCCGGCCCTCCCGGCCCCTCAGTACCTGTCCGGGACCCCCTCTTGGTCCCAGGAGCTCCCGTCGGCCCTGCTGCAGCCTTGCAAAATCCAGGAAGCTTTCTCCAGGGCAGGGCTGGGGTCCTTGGATGCCCCTACCAGGAAAGGCCAGAGAGGGAGACGTCATGGAGTCCTAGGGCTGGAAGATACCTCCGAGGTCATCTAGTCCAACCCCTGCGCAAGGCAAGAGCTTTACGCCATCCTGGTCAATTGGTTGTCCGGCCTATTTTTCAAAACCCCAAAGTGATGGAAACCCAGGATGCAAACGGTTCCATCGACTAATTGCTCAATCACAACAGCACACATAAACGACATAGAATAAACAGGGTGACAGGATCAGAAGGGACCTTAGAGGTCTTCTAGTTCAACTAGGGGACTGGAGGCTAAAACATACAAAGAACAATTGCAGGAATCGGGGAGGTCCAGTCTAGGGGAGAGAAGGACAAGGGGAGACACGAGAGCGGCCTTCCAACATTTGAGGGGCTGCCACAGGGAGGAGGCCAAGCTGTTTTCTGGACTGCCATCGGTCAGAAATGGTGTAGGGTCTCCTGCTTGGGCAGGGGGTTGGAGTAGATGACCTTCAGAGTCCCTTCCAGCTCTATTATTCTGTTAACTCCTCTGCTCAAGCAGGGAGCCTTCTACCAGCCCTTTCAAACGGCCATCCAGTCTCCTCTGGAAAATCTCCAGTGTTGGAGCACCCACATTTTCTCGAGGCAAGCAGTTCCACTGGTTATTGACTCTGTCAGGAAGCTTCTCCTTAGTTCCAGGTTGCTTCTCTCCTTGACGAGTTTCCACCCGTTGCTTCTCCTCCTGCTTTCAGGTGCTCTGGAGGACAGCTTGACTCTCCCTCTTCTTTGGGGCAGCCCCTCAAACACTGGAAGGCTGCTGTCATGCCCCCCCCAGTCCTCCTCTTCATTAGACTGGACATCCCCGATTCCTTCAGCCGTTCTTCCTAGGCTTTAGCCTCCAGCCCCCTCATCCTCTCGGTTGCTCTTCCCTGCAGTCTCTTCAAAGGCTCCACGTCTTTCTTACAGTGTGGCAACCAAAGCTTCACGGGGACCCCCTGTGCCCTGCCCCACAGTGCCCACCATCCCCCTTTGGGGCCAGGGGAGGAAGAGGCTGGAGGGGCCCAGCCAGCCATGTCCATGGGGGGGGGAGAAAGATGGTCCCCCAGTTTTGGGGCCTCACCTGCAGCCCGGGGTGCCTCTCCTCCTGTCTCTGGCCTCGGCTTCTGCTCCGCGGCCGTCAGCGCCAAGAGGGTCTCGTAGGCCTCCAGGCAGCGTTCGCTGGGAGGGGGGGGAGGTCAAGAGGGGAAGGGGCAAGAGGGGCCACGCCAGAGCCAGGTTTAGGCCCACTCAGACTCAGAGACCCAACAGAGCAAAGACCGAGTCCAACTGGATGACGTCCTGCTCTTCCCTCCCAGCAGCCCTGCGAAGTAGGCTAGGCAGGCGAGATGGGGAGTGTCAGTTCCCCCCCCCACCCACCCCACAGGCCAACCTTGGCTGCCAATCTCCAGCCCCCCAATTCACCCCACGTTGCCCAGATAAGAATCTCTCTCTGCAACGCAGCTAAAGCCGAGAAGAGGGGCGGCTCCCCCTTGCACCCAGGCGGCTAAAGCCCCTTCCTCCCCCCCCCATTTTTCCTGGGTCCCCAGGACCTTTTCTTCTGTGTTGCTGTTTATTTATTTTTAATAGCCCCCCCCCTTCCAGAGACCCCTAAAGACAAATAATGTTATGAAAGGAGGAACACAGATTCAGGGGGCACCTGGAGGTCCCGTTGGAATACAGGCAGTTCTCGACTTACGACCACAACTGAGCCCAGAGTTATGGCCATAGGTTGTGCTAGTCATTAAGCCGGGGCTCACCTGCCGTGGAGGGCCAGGGCCAGCCCGGTCTGGTGGGACTCTTGGCATCCGAGCAGGAGGCTCAGTTGCTCCGCGTCCGTCTTGGACTCTTGCAGGGCCCCCGAGAGCAGCTGGTTCAGCCCCCGCAGCCCCTCCAGGCGCCTAGGCGGGGGAGAGGGGCCCGGTCAGGGGAGGGCTGCTACTACGGCTTGTAACCCAGGTGTGCCCAGGGGGCAGCTACTCCACCCAGGGCAGTGAGTCCATTCCACAAGTGGCCGTAATGAGGTTCAATAAAACCTACGCAGCTGCAAGAGGAGTGGACCCCAACTCCCCAAAGAGACCCCACCCCGAGAAAAGGCCCAGCTCTGAGGGGGTGAGGAAGCCCCCTCCCCAAAGGCCTCCCCTTCCAGAGAACTGAGGTGGTAGATGGGTGGGGGGGCAATCCAGAGGCTTGGGGGCCCTCAAAGATCTCCGCAGGGCCCCTCTGCTCCTTAGGTCATCCCCCAAATCAGGCCGGGGGGGTCATGGGGCACTGTTACACCCCCTTCCCTGAGATGAATTGGTCAAGTAGGGTCTCCCTGCACAGGACCCCTTGATGAGAGTCTTGCAGAAATTGGGGGCAGGGGCATGCTGAGGGATCCCCCCATTTTCAACTGCCACCCCCCAAGAGCAGGCCGCTCGTGGCCAAGCGAGGGAGGGGGGCATCAGGGACCCCTACCTGTGCAGCTGCTCCAGGCTGTTCTGGATCTCTGCAGGGGGCGAGGCTGGAAGGGTGGGGGCAGGCTGCATGCTGGTAGCCCCCCAGGGAGGATGGAGGCTGTTCTGAGCAACCCCTGAGGGCGAGTCCTGCAAGAGAAGGGGAACGTCAAAAATACAGCAAATCCCCCCCCCCAAGAGTTGAGGCTTAGCTTCATTTGGCTGAACCCTCTTCCCCCTCCCCCTTTCCTCTCATCTGGGGCTGAATCCCTCCCACCCACCCTCCAGCAGCACCTCCCCTGCAGCACCTGGGCTCCTTCCCTGAGGGGGCTGGGGGCTCCTCCAGAGCAGGCCTCCACCCTGGACAGGCTCTCCTGCAGCTCCTGCACCTGGATGGAGAAAGGGGGGCGAGGAGGGTCAGGCAAACTGAGAAACACCCCCCCCCAAAAGGAATCTCCCACAGGCCTCAAAAGAGCAGGAGTGGAAAGAGCAGGACCAGGAACTGAGTTATTGGTACCCGGAGTGGGGCTGTTTGAGGGGCGGCTGCTCCCCCTAATTTCTGATGGGACAGAAAAGACCCTTCCCCACAGAGGGGTGGGGGCTTCTCAGTTGCTGCCTCCTTCTCTGGCATGAGATGCCACCGGGCCTGCTTGGAAATGTGATTGACAGCTTTCAGCAAGCTTTGAGCTTTGGTGGGTTTGATGCCTCCCTTTCTCCTCCCTGCTCTTTTTCTTTCTTTCTTTTCCTTCTTTCTTTCTTTTGTTCTTTCTTTTCCTTCTTTCTTTCCTTCTCTCTCTCTCTCTCTTTTTCTTTCTTTCCTCGTCCCTCCCTCCCTCTCTCTTTCCTTTTTTTCTTCCTTCCCTCTTCCCGATCCCCAGGTTAAACCAGGCACCCCATCCCAAAACCACCAGCAGAGCCCCCCAACGCCCCCTGCCCAACGCCTGCCCAATACCAGGCTCAGGGCCATCAAGACCTCTGGCTCCCCCTGCTGGATCTGGTGGGCAGCAGCAGCTGAAAGTGGGCAACTGGCTGCTGCAAAGGGCAGCCAGACCCTCTGGGTGCCAGAGAAGCCCGTTCACAAAGGGGGCAAATCTTTGGCCTGCGCCAGTCGTGAGAAGTGCCCACAGGCTGGGTGGCACACTTACTGCCCAGGAGGGCAAACAGCAAAGGAAGCAGCCCTGGGTTGGTGTCATCATGCAGGCAGAGGGGAGAAGATCCAGATGTGAACGGGGGGGGGGCGGCGATGCCCGACAGAAGTGGAGGACGGGGGGACGGGGACCCTCTGGACTTTCCTGGACCTCCCCCCCCGCCCCTGATCTGAGCACCTGGCAAGGGGGCTGAGCGGTTCTTCACTCGACTGCACAGCAAGAGGCCCCCTGCCAGCCCTCCCTTCCCTTCCCTTTTTTTTTATATATATATATTTTTATTTTTTTTAATACAAACATTCCATCTTACATTAAACGGTGTGTCATCTGAGTATAAAATTCTTTGTGTCTTAACAATTAAACCTACCACCATATTCATTTCTTACATTCATTCTTATATTAATACTAATAATACTGATAAAATAACATAAAACTAACATTTCTCTTCTTTACTTATCTATTTTTACAATACATTGCTCAACCATTGATAAAATAACTCCCATGTATTATAATAATCTGATTCTTCCTTTTCCTGAATTGCAAGTGTTAATCTGTTCATTTCTGCACATTCTAATATTTTCTTAATCACATTTTCATCTATAGGGATCTCTTCGCTTTTCCAGTTTTGTGCAAGTACAATTCTAGCTGCGGTCATTACAGGAATAATCAAATATATAGTTTCTTTACTATAAATTCCCCAGCAGGAACAATTCCAATTTTAAATCAATATGTTGTTGCGTCATCTTCTCCAGCCACATGCAAATTTTTGCCCAATATCTTTTTGCTTCCCCAGATGTCCACCACATATGATAATACGACCCCGGTGTCTGTTGGCATTTCCAACATTTAGTTGATTTATCTTTAAACATTTTGACCAGTCTTTCTGGTGCTAAGTGCCACCTGTAAAACATCTTATATAGGTTTTCCTTGTATGCAGTTGACAATGTTAATTTGTAATTCCCATCCCATAGTTGCTGCCGTTTATCTAGCTCTATCGTGTGACCAAAGTTTTTCGTCCATGCTATCATTGTTTCTTTGACTTGTTCTTCTTCTAATTTTACACTCAATAAGTAACTCTACAATTTTCTTTTATCATTCTCTCTTCTCTCCTGTCAATATCTTATCCAATCCTGTGTTCCATATAAAAACCATAAAGTTTAGCATCCTTTTCATATCTAGATTGTATTTGCAGCTGTATGCACCAATCCATATCAATCCCCTGCTTTTCCAATTCACATTTCATTTTAAGTCCCCTCTTATCTGACAAGATATCTTTGTATCTAACAATATTTCCCATATTAATAATATTTGGATGTATAAGTGCTTCCATCCTCGAAAGCCAGACTGGTATCTTCAAGTAGTGTTGCTCTCCCTAATTTTTCCCCGTACTAATAGCAAAGCATTTCTTACGGACTCTACCTAAGAGCCACTTGCCTTCCTCTGCAGCTTCTTCCGCTCCTGCTGGTGGGCTGCCATGGAGGCCTTGGACCGGCTGAGGAGCTCCTGCTTGGCCTCCAGCTCGGCTCGGAGGGCGGCGTTCCTCTCCTTGTAGAGGGCGGTCATCCTCTCGCAGGGGGGGCCCTCAGCCTCCTGGGGGGGCCTCCCCGAGCCGTCCCTCTGGAGCGCCACCAGCCTGGCTTCCAGACCCTGGCAGGAGGCAAGCAGCCGGGCGGCCTTGGCAGGACGTCCCCCAGAGCCCCTCCTCTGCCCCCACCCGGGAGCCCACCCCAAGGCCAAAGGCGGCCAGGGCCAGCCAGGTGGGACCTCGGAGGAAACAAAGGGGCAGAAGCATCCCGCTCTATTTTGCTCCCTCTTTAAAAGAACCTCTCTGTTAAACTTATTTGTTTCTGTTAAAAATTCTGTTAATTGTATAATTTTAATATACAATAATAATTATTCTGTGGAAATTACACTTGTTAAAAAGTAGGCAAGAAGACACGCTCCACTTCCTGGCTACTTACTCCCGGGCTGGAAACACAGAATACCAGAGTTGGAAGGGACCTTGGAGGTCCTCTAGTCCAACCCTCTGCTCGAGCAGGAGACCCTACTAGACCATTTCAGACAAGTGGCTGTCCAGTCTCTTCCTGAAACCTCCAGGGACGGAGCCCCCGTTCAGGGATGTGTGTGTGTGTGTGGGGGGTTTTCAGCCGCTCGCCCCCATCCCTCCCACCCCCTGGGCACCTGGGCCAGCTGGGCACATCCCTGCAGCTCGGCTTCCACGCTGGGACGGCGGTTCCGGTAGGACAGGAGGACGTTCTCCAGAGAGGTGACGGCCTTGTGGACTTCAAGGAACAGGTCGGCCTTCCCTGGGAGAGAAAAGAGCCCAGTCCAGGTGAGCGAATTCCAGGGGTCAAGCCCTGGAGGCCAAGGCCCTGGGTGCGAGGTGGGGAGGAGACCGGGAGGACACTGGAAGAGGGACGGGAGAGAGGACCCACCCCTCCCTTTAGGCTGCAGAGGGAATTCTCTCCTCCTGGAAACGCATTTGGAAGGGCAGGCGTGGGAAAAGGCAGGAGGGGACCAATCTGGGGGATGGGCTAGAAGACCTCCAGGGTCCTCTTGTTCTAGGATCTCTGCAAAGGAGGCGGGGGCGTTGTCCTCTCCAAAGGCTCAATTGGCCAGACCGATTTGACCTGAAGTCCGAGTTGGAGGCTCCTTCCGAAAAGAGTGCGGCCAGTAGAGGCAGCAATGGAGGCATTTTCTTCCTGGCTCCTGATTCAAGATTTCCCACCCAGAGAGCTGCTCTACTCAACAAAATCTGAGCCCCGTCTTGGGGTCTTACCTTCTTCCGGACGGGCTGGAGGCGGGGGAGGGGGGCTCCTGGTACGCCTGGCAAAGAGGGACGGGTATCGGGGGAGGCTGGTGGTGGACTCGGAGCCCAAATCGGAAAAGAAGTCCTCCTCTTCCTCCCTACAGGGCAGAAGAAGGCCAGGTGAAGGAGCTGGGCTTGGGCTTGGGCCGGCGGGGGGGGGGGGGGGCCGGGGGGGGGAGGGGGGGGGGTGGGAAAGGAGGTGCCACCTGGAGTCCAGACTCGGCTCCTGGAGATCATCTCCATCCTTGGAGAGGTCTTTGGAGTTCATCTAAGCAGGGGGTTGGACTAGAAGACCTCCGAGATCCCTTCCAACTCTTTTTCCTATTATATTCAGCCCTGGCATCTCCCGGTGGTCTCCTATCCCAGATTTAAGGCATGCAGGAGGCTGCCCTGCACCACTCAGAAATCGTGCGCAGGTAGCCTTCGACTGACGACCTTCTCTTTAGTGACCGTCTGAATTATAACAGGGCTGAAAAAGTGAATGACCGTTTTTCCCCACGTCCCGTGATCAAAGGTCGGCTGCTTGGCAACTGGCATGTACTGGTGACAGTGGGGGCGTCCTGGTGTCCCTGATTGCCATTGGTGGCCAACCTCTGGCAAGGAAAGTCAATGGGGGAGGCCAGATTTGTTTAATGACCGATGATTCGCTTAACATCTGCATGGATTCACTTAACAGCTGTGGCGAGAAAGGTCATAAAATGGGGCAAAATGCGCTTAACAACTGTCTCGCTTAGCGACAAAAATCTTGAGCTCAGTTGTGGTCGTAAATCGAGGACTACAGTAATAATCTCCATCTTGCATCGGGGTGAAGAAAATCATTGAACTGCAGAGGGGCGCAAATCCTCACATCCTGCTTTTTTCTGGTAGTTCTTCGGAGTCCTTGGGTGGGAGTGGGGCCAGAGGAAGGGGAAGGACCACCAGGGGATTCCTTGGGCCATCCAGGCCATCCAGGCAAGGGGGAGCAGGGGGAGGAGGGAGGGAGGGGGGGAGGGGCGGGATGTACCTGGCTCTGTCCTGCTGCAGCCGCTCCATCTTCCCCTGCAGCCGGACGATGGTGACCAGCAGGCGAGTGATGCTCTCCTCGTAGTGCAGGGCGGCCTCTTCACCGGACTCCTCCTGGCCAGGTGGGCCCAGCTCCCCCTGCGGCCCCTAAGAGAAGGGGGAGCATCAGCCTCTCCCCCCAAGATCCGGAGGTCCCAACCCCACAACGCAAGGAGCCAAGGTGCTCATTCACTGGGCCGGCCTGGTTGCATTATGATTGCTTTAATTTGCAAGATTACAGTATATTATATTATATTAATTATATTATATTACATTACATTACATTACATTATAGCATAGCATAGCATATTTATTATATACTATATTATATTTATTATATTACATTATATTATATTATATTATACTATTTTATTTTATTTTATTGTTTTATTTTTCAGTCTGGATTTTGCTGTTAATTGCCCAGAGTTCATTTGAAAGAGGGACATTTATATAAATTTTCCAAATAAATGAATAAAATGCATTTAATAGGCACCAAAGGCTTAGGTTTCTGGCAAATAGATGGGGAAGAAATGGAGGAGAGTGACAGATTTTATTTTCCTGGGCTCCAAGATCACCGCAGATGGGGACTGCAGCCAAGAAATTAAAAGACGCTTGCTCCTGGGGAGGAAAGCCATGGGAAATCTAGACAGCCTACTAAAAAGCAGAGACATCACCCTGCCAAAAAAAAGTGCGTATAGTACAGGCGATGGTTTTCCCAGTTGCAATGTGTGGCTGTGAAAGTTGGACCATAAGGAAGGCTGAGAAGGCCAAAGAATGGAGGCCTTTGAACTCTGGTGCTGGAGGAGACTCCTGCGAGTCCCTTGGGCTGCAAGGCCATCCAACCGGTCAGTCCTAGAGGAGATCAACCCTGACTGCTCTTCAGAAGGCCAGATCCTGAAGAGGAAACTCAAACCCTTTGACCATCTAATGAGAAGGAAGGACTCCCTGGAGAAGAGCCTAATAATGCTGGGAACGATGGAGGACAAAAGAAGAAGAAGGGGACGGCAGAGAACGAGGTGGCTGGATGGAGTCCCTGAAGCAGTCGGCGTGAGCTTCAATGGACTCCAGAGGATGGTAGAGGACAGGAAGGCCTGGAGGAACGTGGTCCATGGGGTCGTGATGGGTCGGGCATGACTTCGCAACTAACAACAACAACAACAAAAGCCTTAGGTCTTAGGATGACAAATCTGCTGCTGTCATGCTTTGCTCAGGGCTGCTTAGAGTCCTGTGTGAAAATCTACCCACGGTTTCCAATTTCTCCTGGAATGTATGTTTTTCAGTGCCCCCTTTCCTAAGATTCCCATTTCTGCAAGTGTTTTTCTTCCACCTTCTGCTCTTTGTCCTAAAAGTTTGGTGGGCATTTTTCCTAAGTCCTGGGTACAGGTAGACCTCGACTTACAGCCATTCATATAATGACTGTTGGAAGTTACATCAGCACTGAACAGAGGGATTTATGACCTTACTCCACATTTACAACCGTAGCAGCATTCCCGGGGCCACCTGATCAAAATTAGGATGTTTGGCAACTGACTCATACTTATGACAGTTGCCGTATCCCTGGCCTGGATCATGGGATTCTCTTATGCAACCATCTGATGAACAAAGTCAATGGGGGAAGCCAGATTCACTTAACAACCGTGTTACTCACTTATCAGCTGCAGTGATTCACTTAACAACAGTGGCAAGAAAGATCATAGAATGGGGCAAAGCTTACCAAACTGTCTTGCTTAGCAATGGAAATTTTGGCTTCAATTGTGGTTGTAAATCAAGAACTACCTGTCTACCTTTTCAACCAGGGAATTCTACGGCTGAATTCAGACAATCGTTACGTAGCAAAAGACTTTTTGGCTCAGGTGTTGCCGTAGAAAGTGGAAGTCCAATTCAATTTGAACTTAAGGAGTGAATTTCCTTCCTTTTCCTAAAGCAGTGGCCGAGATATTGGGGCCTTCTGTTCTGTCCCTGCTTCTCCTGCCAAATGAAATTTTCTATATGTTTGTGTGCGTATGAGTTTAAATCACATTTTCTCATTAGAGCATTTGAACCACTATAGCAGGGCTGGGGAACTGTGGCCCCTTTAAGATCTGCGGATTTCATCTCCCAGAATTCCTGAGCCAGCCCTGGGTCAGGAATTCTGGGAGTTGAAGTCCACAGGTCATAAAGGGCCATAGCTCACCACCCCTGAGCTATCGCCTCACAGGTAGATTGCACCAGCAGTTTTTTCAGTCGTGGTGCCTTTAAGATGTCTCTGGACTTCAACTCCCAGAATTCATGCTGGCTGGGGAATTCTGGGAGTTGAAGTCCACCCATTTTAAAGCTATCAAAAGTCGAGGAATGATGGATTAAACCGCCTAATCTCCCAGTCCTCCTTTGCCCCCTGCAAGACACCCCAGGCAGGGCTCGGAAAGGCCCCGGAAGGGAGCCCGAAGGGCCACTGTGCCACAGCTTGGGCCTGGACTCTGCTCTCTGCTTCGGCTGAGGGCTGCAGACCCACCTTGGATGGGGCAGGAAGCCTGGAGTTGCTTCCCCCAATTAAACACCGGAAGCCAGGAATTTGGGTGTGTGTGTGTTTGTGTGTGTGTTCCTGTGTTTTCCCCAGGAACAATGACTTGTTTGTCCCTCCGTTCCCGGCTTCCAGACTGAGGCGGTCATTCTTGGGGATGCCAGGGGCAGCGTCCGTCCAGTGACCCCCTCGCAAGCCCAGGGCAGCTTCGCCAGGCAAGGAAGCCAGGAAGTTGCAGCTCTTATTGCTATGCCTTGGTTGATTGCCAGGGTCCCTCAGAGATCAACTAGTCCACCCCAGCTGCCCCCAAAGCAGGAAATTAGAGCGTTTCACATGAGAAAGGACTGCTTATCCGGTGGTTCTGGAGCTCCTGATGGAGATTCAGAAACCCTCAAACTGGACCAGAGATTTTTCCCATGGGATCCCCCCCCCTCCAAATTCTCACCTACCTCTTCCATTCTTTCTCTTTCTGTCTTCTCCCCCTGGAGCAACCTGGTTCTTGGCTTCGTCCTGGCCCTGATGGATGGCAGCAGGCTTTTCCTGTTGATCTGCAGCCTTCCCAGCTTCCCTACACGTTTCCTGCCCTCACTGAGAGGAAGGGGCCGGGCCCCGGTCGAGCCTCGCCTCGCCTTTATTCCTGGCTCAACAACCCACCGTATTTATAACTGCACCACACAAACCAAGGCAGAAAATAACTCGGTTTTGTGGGTTAAAAATTAAGACTTTGTGGGCCGTAAAATCTGCTGTGGCCCTGGGGAGGTTAGGGGCACTATTGGGACGGGAGGGTCTTGCACGGATGATGCATTTGGGCTTCATGGCACATCGTAGGACAGCCTTTCTCAACCTTGCAGCTGAAGCTGTGCAGCTGGGGGGAATTCTGGGGGATTCTGGGAATGGCTGGGGGATTCTGGGAGTTGAAGTCCGCACAGCTTCAAGCCACCAAAGTTGAGAGACATTGTGATTACTGGAAATCCCTGCAGCAAATTTAAAGCAGGTGGAATTCTAAGCCAGCAGGATTGAGCTCCCAGCTGGGCCTCTGCTTCATTGTGTTATCAGTTGCAGCTTCTAGGGACTTTTAAAAAGACGCTTCCTCCTGGGGAGGAAAGCCGTGGGAAATCTAGACAGCCTACTAAAAAGCAGAGACATCACCCTGCCCACAAAAGTGCCTATAGTCAAGGCGATGGTTTTCCCAGTTGCAATGGATGGCTGTGAAGGTTGGACCATAAGAAAGGCTGAGAAGGCCAAAGAATTGAGAGGCCTTTGAACTCTGGTGCTGGAGGAGACTCCTGCGAGTCTCTTGGGACTGCAAGGCCATCCAACCAGTCAGTCCTAGAGGAGATCAACCCTGACGGCTCTTTAGAAGGCCAGATCCTGAAGAGGAAACTCAGATACTTTGGCCACGTAATGAGAAGGAAGGAAGGAGAAGAGCCTCATGCTGGGAACGATGGAGGGCAAAAGAAGAAGAAGGTGACGGCAGAGAAGGAGGTGGCTGGATGGAGTCACTGAAGCAGTCGGCGGGAGCTTCAATGGACTCCAGAGGATGGTAGAGGACAGGAAGGCCTGGAGGAACGTGGTCCATGGGATCATGGACATGACTTCACAATTAACAACAACAAAAGTGACTTTTAATGGTTGTGTTAATTGAACGCAACAACAACAAAAAAAGGGAATATTTAGGGGAAGGAAGGAAGGAGAAAGTGAAAAAGAAAGCAAAGAAAAAGAGGAAGAAAGAAAAAGGAAAGAAGGGAAAGAATTAGAAAGACAGGAAGAAAAAACCCAAAGGTCTAGAGTTGGGGGTGTCCAAAGTTTCCAGGAAGCGGGGCCCTTTTTCAATGCAATGATCTTTATAACTCATTGGGGGGCGCGGGGGGGGGATTCTGGGAGTTGAAGTCCAGCCTCTTAAAGGAGCCGAGGTCGAGAAACGGGGCTCCAAATCGAAGTCAGAAGCGGCCTTTGCAGAGAAAGAGGCCGGGAAACTCCGGGGCGCTGCAAGGTGGGCAGAGCGACCCTGCAGAGGCTCCCGCGCCTTCCAGCCGTGGCTCGCGCGGAAACTACAAGTCCCGGCAGCCCTTGCGAGGGCGGCTGCTTTGGGTGTTTTTTTCTCCCCCCCTTCCTGTCTCTCCGGGTGTGGCAGGTCCAGGTGCGGGGCGGGGGGCTTGCAAAGGGGCGGCGGGGGCTCCCTCGGGCTTTGCAACCCGGCGCCCGCGTGCGCTGCGCTCGCAAGGCAGAGGGGGGTGGTGGCTGGGAGGGAGTCCAGGTCCTTGCAAGCAGGAGGGTAGGGGTGGGGGGGCCGCTGTTGAGAAGGGGGCCTCGATGGGAGGGGAAGGGGCTTCGCTGAACCCGGCTTCTCCTTTGCAGAAGGCTCTCCGGACCCGTCTGGCTGTGGGCATCTCTGGGCCAGGAGCCCCCAAAGGAGGAGAGGTTGCAGCCCCTCCCCGCCCAGAAGGTTGGCATCACTCCCTCGTCCGGAATCGCAGATTAAATGGGGGTTTGGGTCGATCGGGGACCCCTCAGCTGCTGGGGACCCCGGAGCCTTGCTCAGGGTCGCCCCTTCCTGATCCTGCCTCTCTTAAGGAGGAGGGCTAAGACACGGGGGGGGGGGGCAGAAGATGCCTAAAGTGGAGAAAGTGCTGCAAAAGACCCCCCCCCCAAAAAAGCCTCCATGACCTCGTCTGGGGGCCTAAGGGGCAGACTAGAGGAGGGGTCTCCAAACTCAGCCACTCTAAGGCTCGTGGGTTTCTTTCAACTCCCAGAATGCTGGCTGGGGAATTCTGGAAGTTGAAGTCCACAAGTCTTAAAGTGGCCGACTTGGGAGATCCTGGAATAGAGAATTGGCAGACTGGCCATAGAAGATCTCAAGGGGTTCCTGTGTCTTGCGCACTTACCTGTGTGACTTCTGCCTGTTCAGGGTTGGAGGCTGTTGTGGTGGAGCTTCAGTTCCAGAATCCCCAACCAGCGTGGGAGGCCTCATCCAGAGGGGCCACAGACTGGGGAGAAAGGTTGCCTTAGATCAGTGATTTTTGAACCTTGGCAACTTGAAAAAGGGTGGGCTTCCACCCCCAGGATTTAAGAAGAACACTTGTTGTAAAGTCATTTCTTAGACTGAGATGGGCAGCATATAAATAAATTCATATTTAATGTTGGCAAGCTTGAAAACGGCTGCCCTAATTGGTTTTACTGTGAACTCTGCTTCTGTGCATCTCTGGGTTGTGTTTTATTATTAATAATTTTAATTAAAATGAAAGAGGGAGCAAAACACGAAGATAATAGTATATATTCTCAAATAGAGAGGGGAAAAAATCACCTAAAAATGTTTAACAAAAAAGTGAAAGAAATATGAGCAAGAAAAAGAAATCATGTATAAATGTATAAATGTATTAGAACAGGGGTGTCAAACTCAGCTGCATTGAGGGCTGTATTGGACCTCCGGGGGCGGAGAGGGGCATCACTCATGTCGGGGGCATTGGAGCCCGGGAGGGATGCATGTGTCCTGCCCAAGCTCCGTTTTTACTGGCAGAGGCACTGTGGGCTGGTCCTTCGCTATTTCCAGGGTGACCCTGGGGGCCAGATTCAAGCACCCTGCGGGTGCGATCTGGCCCCTGGGCCTCGAGTTTGATACCCCTGTATTAGAAATACGTACATTTTGGAATAATATTTTGCACTGGGCAAGTATGTATATCTGCCGTCTGTCAGAAATGGTGTAGGGTCTCCTGCTTGGTGGGGGGTTGGACTAGATGACCTTCCCACTCTATTAATCTGTATAGAATTGTGTGTGTTTACCATCTCCGAGTCTGACCTGTTTGCTATCTCTCTTCCCCAAAGGGAGGACAGCCAGACTCCCACCACTCCCATCACTTTCCCCGGTGAGTGTCTGGCAATCCTGGACTCGCCCCCGGACTGTGGGACTTGGATGGACACCTCGGAGGCCAACAGCACGACGGAGGAGGAAGAGGAGAAAATGGCGGCCGAGCAGCGGCCCAGAACCCGGTCCAACCCGGAGGGGGCCGAGGACCGCACCCTCAGCATGCAGGCCAGCGTGGGGAGTCGAAGTGAAGGGGAGGGGGAGGCGGCCAGCACCACCACCAGCCCCCCCAGTGCTGCCATCCAGACCCCCAACGGCAAGACTTGGCTGGCCCCAACCCCTCCCTCCGAGTTCCAGGTCCGGACGCCGCGGGTGAACTGCCCAGAGAAAGTGGTGAGCGGAGACAACCCCATCCAGACCCCCCCACCCCCCCAGCTACTGCCCTCCCTTCCGTTTTTCCCTTTCTCTGCATCTGCCTCCCCTTAACCAGATCTCCGATTGGCAAGAGATTCATCCATTTGGAGGAGAGACTTTGCAAAATGTGCCTCCTGCTTTGGACCATTAAAGCAGCTGCCTCCTTAGGGTGTCTCAGCATGGCAGCGCACAGAGTTCCTGTCTGTGTGTAGGTGTGTGTGTGTGAGTGTTTGTGTGTGTGTGCTGGCACATGCACCACATTTGCTGGGACTGTCGACACACATTCAGGTCTTTGAAATGAAGAGGTCCCAAAGATGTTGCTGCTTTAATGAGTCCCAGGAAGGATGCTTTGCTCACGGAAAGATATTTTGTGAAGCTCTTTTGCAAATGCTTCTTATATGCGGGGTCCCCGGTGCTCTCTGAGCTGGGTTGTTTCCTTGCAGACCCTTCCTCACCAAGCTAGGGAATGAATGAATGAATGCTCCCTATATCCCTGACGTTTAGAACGCCCAGCCTAGTGGTCAGAGCAGTGTTTCCCAGCCTTGGCGGCCTGAAGGGGGGTGGGCTTCAGCCTCCCAGAATTCCCCAGCCATGCTTCTTATCAGTTGCTGGGCCTGAGAAATGCTGCTTGAAAAGACGGTTGATCGGATTGAGGGTTGGACTAGAAGACCTCCAAGGTCCCTTCCAGCTCCATCTGATTGATTGATTGCAGGAGAGCGTCAGACGGGCCAAGTGTAAAGTTGCACGGAGAGAAAGAAATAATTGCAGAGGCCACTCAAAGAGGGCCAGGAAGAACAACGGTTCAGAGACAGCAAGGAAAGGGTGGGGGTGGGGTGTCTTGAGTGAAATTAAAAAAATGGAGGGGGGCAAACAGGGTTCAACTGGGACCCCCAGCAGAGGGGGGGTGGAATTGGAAGAGAAGGGGGGTGGAGGTTGAAACAAGTAGGGCTGGAGTTGAAAATGAGGCTTGGGATGGGAATGATGGCTCTTTGGTTCTCTCTGTCCTTTGCATTGTATCACTTCCCTCCCTCTGCCCCCCCCCGAAAAATATGCAGGTAGTCCTCGACTTATGACCCCAGGTTGGGCCAGAAGTTGCATTGCTGAGCAAGAGGGTTCTTAAGCAAGTCGTGGCCAATTTTACAAACTTCCTTGCCGCAATCTGTAAGCGAATGGCCGCCGTTGTTCAGTGGATCGCATAGTCGTTAAGTGAATTTGGCTTTGTTTGTCAGAAGCCAGCTGGGAAGGTCACAGATGGTGATCCCATGATCCCCGGGATCCTGCAGTGGCTGTAAATATCATGCCAGTTGCCAAGCGCCTGAATTTTGATCCCTGGGGGATGCGGTGACAGTCAAAAGTTGTAAGTCGTTTGTAACGTTTGCCCTGGTGGCGCAGCAGACTAAAGCACTGTTATTAAGACCAGCTGCCTGCAATTACTACAAGTTCAAATCTCTCCAAGGCTCAAGGTTGACTCAGCCTTCCATCCTTTCCAAGGTAGGTAAAATGAGGACCCGGATTGTGGGGGCAATAAGCTGACTTCATATAAAATATACAAAAGGATGAAGGCTGTTGCTTAGCGCATTGTAAGCCGCCCTGAGTCTCTGGAAAAGGGCGGCATAGAAATTAAAGCAAGAAAAAAAAAAAACTTCAAATAAGTTGAGAATTTTCTACAATGAGATGGAAAGACACGTATGAATCCACTCATTTTCTCTTGCACGCACACCATTTAACCCTCTCTTAATAAAGAAGAAGGAAAAGTGAGAAAAAAGACCTGAATAGATCGATGGAGAGTGAGAGGCAGGAATCGCATCCATGTTTAATTTCCTTCCTTCTCTGTCCCAGATCATCTGCCTGGATCTCTCGGAGGAAATGTCCCACCCGAGGCTGGAGTCCTTCAACGGGTGAGCCGGGACCCCTCCCTTGGCCAGAGGGATCTTTTTTTTTGGGGGGGGGGGTGCTGGCTTCCTGGGGCCCAGCAGATCCTCCTTGGGTGAGACGCGGTGCCGTCTCTGGCTTCGAAGGGTGGCTGGCCGGGCACGGAGGACAAACCTGGCTGGCCTTTTGGTTCTTGCTGTGGCTGTCCCGCCTTCAGGCCGAAGGGGGCGTCCCAGCCTCTTCCTGGGGGTGCTGCAAAGGCCTGCAGTTAAGATTCTAGTCCTCTTGGCTGAGCAGAAAGAAATTCGGGGGTCTCCTCTGGAACCGGCCCCTTTCTTAGATCTCTGGAGGGGGAGGAAGGCCGGGGCATCTCTGCAGGGCTTCGATCCGCGTTTCCCTGGTGGTGCCTCATGGGCCTCCTCTTCCTCTCCTCCCCCTGGCAGGCTGAAGACCAACGCCCTCAACATCTCCCAGAAGATGATCGAGATGTTTGTCCGCACCAAGCACAAGATCGACAAGAGCCACGAGTTTGCCCTGGTGGTGGTGAACAATGACGTCACTTGGGTGGGTACGCTTGCGAGGGGGGTGGGGGGGGCTGTTCCACACACACACACATATGGTGGGGTGGTCCTTCCCTGCCTTGTCTGCCCCGTTTGCACCCAGACGGCCTGCTCAGAACGGATCTGCCCGGCCGTGTGCGCCCACTGGTGCCCCTCCGCCAAGGCTTCCCAGCGGTTTCACTGGCAGAGACTGCGACAGGGCTTCGGCCTTCATTCCTTGAACCTAGGTCAGGCGGGTTTTAACGTGGGGACTCTCCACCGCAGGGAAGCATTTGCTGGTGCTGCCAGCTCCCCTTCCCCGGCTGAGTTCACGCAGGTGGGTAACCCACTTTAGGCCGGCCGTGTTCCTCGGAAGAGGCCGGTTGGGGCAGAGACCGGATGCCGGACACTCCGCAAATGGCCTCTGCTCCTGCTTTCTGGCTTTCACATACTGGCAGTCTTCCAATTAAAACAGTCCATTTAGTGGGACACCAGGGGAGACAGGAGAGCATCTTCCAGTATTTGAGGGGCTGCCGCAGAGAGGAGGAGGGGGGGTCAAGCTATTGTCCAAAGCACCTGAAGGCCAGACAAGGAATAATGGGTGGAAACTGCCCAAGGAGAGATTCAACCTGGAAATAAGGAGGAATTTTCTGACAATGAGAACAATCAACCAATGGAACAGAAGTTGCCTTCGGAAGTTGTGGGAGCTTCATCACTTGAGACTTTCAAGAAAAGAATCGACTGCCATTTGTTAGAAATGGTGTAGGGTCTCCTGCTTGGACGGAGGGTTGGACTAGATGACCTATAAGGTCCCTTCCAACTCTGTTACATCTGTTAGTTACCATTCAAAGTTACAGCAGCACTGAAAAAAGTTTAGGACCATTTTTCACAGTCATAAATGACCTTTGCAGCTTCCCAGTGATCATGTGACCAAAATCCAGATGCTGGGCAGCTGACTCATATTTATGACGGTCCCAGTGTCCCGGGGGTGTCCTGCGATCCCCCTTTTGCGACCTTCTGGCAAGCCAGGTCTGTGGGGAAGCCAGATTCGCTTAACAACCGGGTTACTCACTTATCAACTGCAATGATTCATTTAACAACTGAGGCGAGAAAGGTCATAAAACGGGGCAGAACTCAACAAATGTCTCATTTAACAACAGAGATTTTGGGCTCCATTGTGGTCATAAGCCGAGGACTACCTGTGAAGATATTCCTCGAATTAGGACCGGTCATTTGGCGATTGTTCGAAGTTACGTCCTTGGGGCTCTCAAGACCCAGTGAGCCCTCCCCTCCCCCACCGTCACACAATCGCATTTTGGGCGCCTGGCCACTGACCGACGTGTCACAGCCGTTTGCAGGGTCCTGCAGATATACGACGTTTTCTCCAGAAACTGGCATTTATTTCTATTTTCCGGCAAGGAAATGACAAACAGTGGATTCTTTGAACTGCTTTCGCCTAACGACGGTGATTCACTTAACGGCCGCTATAAAAAAGCTCACAAAGTGGTCGCGTAGCGGGCAACGCGGCTTGTGAGCGTAATTCCAGGCTCGTTCACTGTCGTAAGCTGAAGGCTGCCTGCGATCCCTGTGGATCCCACAGGATCCGAGCTCACGCGGCCTCCTCCTCCTCCTCCTCCTCTCCGTAGCTCTCCGGCTTCACTTCCGAGCCCAGGGAGGTTTGCAGCTGCTTGTACGACCTGAAGACCATCCTCTGCAAGTCTTTCAGTATCCTTTCCGAAAGGGAAGGGGGGGCCCCGCTGGCAGGAGGAGGGGGGGGGGGCGGGGGGGGGGCCTCCCCCCCCCAATTAGGAAAATCTGATCCGATTTGGAGGAAGAGACGGGGAGAAAACCAGGCTGTGTTTTTAAGCTGACAGTTGCCGGTCTCTGGGTCCAATCCGTCTGGCCCGGGGTTCCTACTTCTCGTCTGGCACAGGGTCTTGGCAAGGGCAGAATGACTTGTGGGACCCTGGCAGAATTTGGATCTGGCCCCGCAGGAGAAGAAGAGGGCCTGGGAGGTTCCGCAGAGCCACTTTTGCGGTTGGAAAGGGAACCTGGATCCCTGAAGGGCAAATCAGAAGAGAGCTGGAGGGGACCTTGGAGGTATTCTAGTCCAGCCCCCTGCAAGGCCACCCTCAAGGGTTGAGAAAGGAGGGGCTCCAAACAGCCCCCTTGCTGGGATTCTACAGATAGCGCCTCGATTTTCACACTTACGACCGTTGCAGCATCCCCGTGGTCATAGTTCAGACCCTTGGCAACCGACTCGTACTTACGACCGTTGCAGTGTCTCGGGAAGGGGGATCACGCAATCCTCTTTTTGCGACCTCCAGACAAGCAAGAGTTGTTACTAACTCAACAATGGGCAGGTAGGGTGGTAAAAATGGGGCCAAACTCTCCCTTAACTGCCTCGCTTAACAACGGAAATTATGGTCGTAGGTTGAGGACTATCCGCTGGGGGTGGTTCCAGCTGGGGATCCTGGCCTTGCGGAGGCGTTTGGAGAAGGTCTCTAAATCAGGGGTCTCCAACCTTGGCAACTTTAAGACTTGTGGACCCTCAACTCCCAGAATTCCTCAGCCAGCTGGCTGAGGAATGCTGGGAGTTGAAGTCCACAAGTCTTAAAGTTGCCAAGGTTGGAGACCCCTGCTCTAAATCCAGGCATTGACCTCAACTTTTGCTGATCAGATCTGGAAGGCCTTTTCAATCTGATGTGAGTCTTTCACCTCCCTCTGGGCTTGGTTGTCTCTTCCGGGGTCCTTGGCAGGAGCCCTTGGTGGGGGGGGGGGTCCCCAATTAGGGGGGGGGGGCAGAGTGTCCATGGCAGCCCTCCCCTTGAAGCTCCAGCCGTGCGTGGGAACGCAAATATCGGCCTTCCTACGAATCAAAGGCAGGAAAAGGAAACGCTTGGAGCTGCCACTCAGAATCCAGGAAGTTTGACGTTAGGCTGCAGCCCAGGCAGTCCTTGACATATGGCCCTTCCTGCCCTCTGGCCGAATCCCTCCGGTCCTCGGGACTGTGCTGGCCGGGAGGGTTGGGGTTTGCAGCCGGTGGGGCGTTGGGTCCTCCTGGCTCTGCCGCCCGCCACGCCTTGTCTCGTTCTCTCGGCAGACAGCAGAAGACGGAGCTCCCGGTGATGGAGAACATCCAGACCATCCCTCCGCCCTACGTGGTGAGGACCATCTTAGTCTACAGCCGTCCTGCTTGCCAGCCGCCCGTGGTGGTGACCGACCAGATGAAGGTGCCCGCTTCCTTGGTCTCACAAGGCTGCCCCCGCCTGGAGGGAGGGAACACCCACCCACCCACACAGAGTTTTCGGTGGTACCCCGAGTCTCGTGTAGAAGAGATCTCAGATCCCAGCAAACCCAGGAGACCACAGAGCGGGACTCTTGACTTCTGCAGCCATTGCTAGGAGGTGGGAGTTGGTTTCTGGCTCCCTTACAGAGAAACAAAAAAAATAGGAAACTCCCTTTTGATCCCACTGCTGGCTGTGAAAGGGGAGGCAGGAGGGCTGAGATTCTCTTCCCCTCCTCCACAGAAAATGCTCCAGTGCCCTTATTTCTTCTTTGACGTGCTCTACATCCACAATGGCGTTGAGGACAAGGAGGAGGAAGTCACCTGGAAGGTAAATCCGTTCCTGGGTTCTCTTTATTTTCTTTTCATTCTAACTTCTCACCCAAGGGATCTCCAACCGTGGCCCCTTTAAGACTGGTGGACTTCAACTCCCAGCATTCCTATATTGAAAGATGGCCCCACTTTCTTTTGACCCAAACATCTGTGGACCTTTGCCCTTTTGGTTTTTATTCCTCCCTTCTTCTGCTTTCCTTCCTTCCTTCCTTCCTTCCTTCCTTCCTTCCTTCCTTCCTTCCTTCCATTTATTCATTCTCCTTCCTTTCCTTTCTCTTTCCTTCTTTATTTATTTATTCACCTTCCTTCCTTTTCCTTCATCTCTTTCTTTCCTTCCTTTTTCTTTCATTTATTTATTCCCCTTCCTTTCATTTTCTTTCTCTTTCCTTCTTTATTTATTCACTTTCCTTCCTTCTTTTTTCTTCTTTTTCTTTCTTTCTCTTTCCTCATTTATTTCCTTCCTTCCCTTCCTCTCCCTCCCTTCCTTTTCTCCTTCCTTCCTTTCTTCGTTCTCCGCAAGTCTTAAAAGTGGCCGAGGTTGGAGGTGCCACCGTAAAGCAAGGAAGGAGAAGATCTTTTGAGCAATGTGATCCAAGCTTCCAGTTCTGGAGGTCAGGCAGGGGACCCTTTCTGAGTTGTGGACCGGGAGCAAACCCTGCCCGGTCCCCCGTCTCCTCACGTGCGTGTACCCCCCTTCCCCTCCCAGGAGACCTTCGCCGCCTTCAGCAACCTGGACGCCAAGGGCACCAACTACAAGTACGAGGTCTCCCTGAGCGGCCCGGCCGTGGAGCTGCACAACTGCATGGCCAAACTGCTGGCCCACCCCCTCCAGCGGCCCTTCCAGACCCACGCCTCCTACAGCATGCTGGAGGACGAGGAGGAGGCGGCGCCCGAGATGGAGGCCGTGGTGTGACCCTCCCGATCGGACCGGAGGGAGTGGGCTGGAAGGAAGCAGGGAGACCAGCCTAGCCCTTAGCCCGTGAGGGGGCTGCGAGGAAGACCCTCTCTCTCCTTTGTAACCTCCATGGCTGGGGAATTTGCACGGGTGGTTGGGACAACACCCCCCCCCCTCCCCAAAAGGATGAAAGAAGGCCTCCATTTGGGACGCTGGAGGGAGCGGCTTCCAGGGGAATGAAAAGCCTGGGGGGTTCGGTGTCAGTTGATTAAAAAATGTGACCTACCTTCCTTGCGAGTCAGATCTCTTTCCGTTGAAGGAATCCGGTGTTGCTCAGCTGGATTCCAGTAAAGTTTGGAAAACTCTTCTGGCTTTTGGTCTTTTGCTTTTCCAGATGCGTGTCTGGCTTCTCCCGGGGACTCCAACTAACTTACGAACATTTGTTTGACTGCTCTAAGTTACGATGGTGCTGGAAAGAGTCTGATCCTCACACTTATGGCCATTGCACCCCCCACGGTCCCATGACTGCAGTTTGCATGCACCTTTTAAAAGTAAAAAAAAAAAAGGCTCTGACGATCACAGCTGTGCCTTGCGATCATGGGAGCCTTTTTTCTACCTTTTAAAAGCCTTTTTTTTTTTTTACAAGCTATTTGGCTTTTGAAAGTTAAAAAAAAAAAGATCGCGCCCCCCCACCGATCCCCCCCCCCCCCCCCCGTGCGTTGTTCTACTTACCCCATGCCTCCTTTTGGTGTGTACTGTGTGCGTGCACTTCGCATTTGTGTGGTGCAAACTGTGCGTGCGTGCAGGGCGCATTTGGCAGGCAGCATGTATGTGCAGCCAGCAAACTGGTAGTAAACTGGTTCAGATTTCACCACTGGTCACCACCCCCTATTTTACACTACACAAACATGACAAGATAAATACATACATACATACAAAATTATGTATTTAGCAACATGTATTATATGACACAGAGAAACAACTTTACAAGAAACAACACAGTGTTATACATATAAACCGAATGGGCAACTCACAGCTGATTTGTTTATTTCTTTTTAATTTCTAAGGCCACCCAACTCCCAGTGCCTTAAGGCAGCTCCCCCAGATGTTGCCCACACAAGGCATAAATTCTCCAGACTCTGCGAATGGAACGTGGCTTGCTAGTGAGGGTTGCCTGAGCCCAGCCCAGCCTTGTGCAAACGGCAGTCTGCATGCCCTCAAGATTCCCCTTGGCTTCCCTTGCCAGCTGGTGCTGTCGGACGGCTTCCCTCAATCGGGGGACACATTCTGAGGGTGGGAAGGTGCATTTCAAGGTAGCAAAGTTGGCCCGTGCAAGGATGACCCTGTGCCTACAGGAGAGGGAGAAGCCGTCCGGCTGCCCGGTTCTGCTTGGCTCCTGAAAAAGGATGGAAATTACATCCTGATCTCTCGGGCTGTGTGACTGCCCAGTACAGCTAGTCCTCGTCTTACAACAGTTCACTTAGTGACCATTTGAAATTACAGCGGCATTGGGGAAAAAAACTTATGACTGTTTTTCACACGTATGACCATTGCAGCATCCGTGTGGTCACATGATCGAAATTCAGACACTTGGTTTAACTGTTCATACTTAACGATGGTTGCAACGTCCTAGGAGGCCACTTGAGCCTCTTTTGCGACCATCTGACAAGCAGAGTCAATGGGGAAGCCAGATTCCCTTAAGAACCACATGACTCACTTAACGACTGCAGTTTCACTTAACAACTGTGGCAAGGAAGGTTGTAAAATGTCTTGCTTAGTAACAGAAATGTTGGGTTCAATCCTGGCTGTAAATCAAGGACTGTTCCTAACGAAGTCGTTTTTTAAAATCGTCCATCTAAGGCCGTGTTTCTCACCTGGGTGACTTGAAGGTGGGTGGGCTTCAACTCCTAAAATTCCCCAGCCAGCATGAATTCTGGGAGTTGAAGTCCACCCATGCTCAAGAGGCTGAGGACTAGGAACCGGTTTAGGCTGCCCTTGCAAATCTTCACTACCAGCAGTTTATATCAGAATTCCTGGGTTGCAATAGAGGCTGCAATAAGGGTGAAGCAGTTAAATACCCTGTTTCCCCCAAAATAAGACGTCCCCTGATAACAAGCCCAATCGGGCTTTTGAGCACAAGGCCAAGTGCTTATTTCAGGGTTCAAAAAAATATGAGACAGGGTCTTATTTTCGGGGAAACAGGGTAGTTAACCAATGCAAACAGGGAACTGAAGTTTGCAGCATGAAAAACAAGAAGTGCTAGTTCAAATAAGACTGTGAATGCATATATATTTAAAAGCAAACAGGACACATTTAAAGGCTTCCTGATTTATTTTCCAAGAAATCAAGTATAATATTAAATATTTATGATTTAAACTGCTGGGTTTAATGCCATTGCAGCTTCTGAAACTCCATGCCTATTAAGGAATCTGGATTCTTTTATTAGGTGTCACTAAATCAGCCAGTTCTCCTTTATCTCATTTTAAAATAGATGAAATGGGAATCGATCCCTGTGAATGAGCCAATCCTGTCCTGAACCCATTCAAGAAATAGGAGGGGTGGAAAAAGGAGGCGGGAGCGTTGGAATTCCAACCAATCACCGTAAAGCAAAGGCTCTTCCGATTGGATAGGCAAGCAGCCCATCAGGGCGGCGACGTATTACCGCGGCCTTCCAATGAAAAACTCCGAGGGAAGCTTCAAACGACGGGAACAAGATGGCGGCGCCGTGTTGACTTCGTGGCTTTGGAAACTCTATGGCCACTGATCACCGACCGAGATGAGTTCGCTACGCCGGGCCGGGACGCGCTGACGCGACCGGCCTCCTCCGCCTCACGGCCGCCTCAGCAAACCGACCGCCCCGCTCTGCCGCCTCCGAGAGGCGACGTAAGACACCGGTCTGCCCGCTGGGGAAGAAGTGCGCATGCGTGCCCGCGACTGCCCGGCACAGGTGTGCCCCTCCCTTTCCCGCGGCCGCCCCCTAGCGGCGCCATGAAGCACAGCGCTTTGGAGCTGGCGGCGCGGCTCTGCGGGGCTCTGCGGGGCCAGGACGACGCGTAAGTGGCTCGTGGATCCGCCTCGCGTGGCTTCTGCACGTTTTGCAATGAGAAGAGCGGATCCCCGAACAGGAGTGGCCCGGTGCCCCCCTCGCCTCGCCCGAAAACTTGCTTTGCCAAGGATCCCCGGGCGCAACTGCGCTTCCGCCACCTGCCAGGTGTTGCGTTTACCTGGAGGAAGGTGCATTGGCAAGCCGGCCTCCCCGCTCTGCAAAAACACGTTTGCGAGGTGCAGGCCGGTTGATCGCAGGGAGGTTTGGCAGGGACAAGGGCTCAATCAATCAATCAGAATAGAGCTGGAAGGGACCTTGGAGGTCTTCTAGACCAACCCCCTGCTCAAGCAGGAGACCCTGACCCATTTCAGACAAATGGCTGCCCAATCTCTTCTTTAAAACCTCCAGGGATGGATCACCCACAGCTTCTGGTGGCGAGCTGTTCCACTGGTTAATTGTCTTCACTGTTAGGAAGTTTCTCCTTAATTCCAGGTTGCTTCTCTCCTTGATTATTTTCCAACCATTGTTTCTTGTCCTGCCCTCTGGTGCTTTGGAGAATAATCTGACCCCTCTTCTTTGTGGCAGCCCCTCAAATACTGGAATGCTGCTATCATGTCCCTCCTTTTCTCTAGACTAGAGAAACCCAAATCCTGCAACCGTCCTTCATATGTTTTAGTCTCCCGGCCCTTCATCATCTTAGTTGCTCTTCTCTGCACTTTTCCCAAAGTCTCAACTTCTTTTTTGTAACGTGGTGACCAAAACTGGATGCAGTGTTCCAGCTGTGGCCTTACCAGTCTTTATAAAGCAGGGCTAAAGCAGTATTGTGATTCTGTGCCTCTGTTTATTCAACCAAGGATTGTATTCGCTTTTTTGGCTGCTGCCGCACATGCCTGGCTCAGGTTTAAGTGATCGTCCACTAGGACTCCAAGGTCCCTCTCACAGTTCCTGTTTTTGTGCCAGGTTTCGCCTAATCTGCCCTTGTACCTTTGGCTTTTCCTGTCCAGGTGTGAGGGTTAGGGAGGAGGTTAGGTCAGAGCAAGGGTATCAAACTCACGCCGCGAGTTTGACACCTCTGGGCTGGAGTGTTGGGGAGGATGGGCCAAACTTGGGACCAGTGCAGGGCACTAAGGGGAAACGGCCTTAGGTAGCATCCCTCACTGAAAAGAGACTGTCTTCTTGCATGGGGCAGTGGGTGATCAGAACTGTAATCCTGCAGCTCTTCTTCTTTGGTGTCTTCTAGCACTGCAAGGGACCTTAGAGGTCATGTAGTCGGGCCCTCTGCAATGTGGCAGCTATGGCAACTTTACAACTTACGGACTTAAACTCCCAGAATTCCTGAGCCAGCCCTGCTCTGCAGTCTCTCTGGCAGGGAGGGTCCTGCAGCCTCTGCTTCAAAATTTGGCTGGAAATTCTTCCCTTGAGGAGAAGCCAACATTTAAAGGGGCAGCCTGTGTTCCTCTCCTCCTCCTCTTCCCCCCTCCCAAAGCCCCCAGCCCACCTCTTCTGACTTAGGAGACCTTTCGGAACTGTATGCAACGGAATTTCATGTTAGCATAGTGTACATTTAAAGTGACAATAATGTTGAGGGGAAGGTGGCCCTGTGCTCCCCTTACCTGCTGGGGACCCTCCCTTCTTCAAAGCCCCCCCTCCCTCCCTCTGCTTTCAGGATGGTGGCTGCCCTGCTCCGGGAGGGAGCCGACCCAACCTGGTCCTGCCGGAGGGAGTGGCCCCCATGCACTTGGCTGCCGGCCTGGAGCAGGAGAACGGGATACGTGGCCTCCGCCTCCTCCTCCAGCACGGGGGGGACCCCAACGTCAGGTACGTGAGGAGCTTTTTCTCTCCCTGCGAAGGACGTTGGGGAGAGCAGACCCTCGACATCTCGGCCCGAGAGGGATTTGAATTGAGCCAAAGCCAGGATGGGCCAGGACCAGGGCATCTGGAGGAATGCAGCTTGGCAGCTGAATCAGTTAGCAGAAAGGAGGAAAGGAATAGAAATAGAAGGGGAAAAAGGCCGGGAGGGGAAGGAAGGGAAAGCAGAGGAGGGGGAGGGAGAGGAATGAAGGGGGGAAAGAGGGAGGGAGGCCCTGCCTTTCCAGGAGGAGAAGTGGGGTCCAAAAACTTGAAAGACAGAAGAGAGGAGGTGAAGGGAGGGAAAGAGGGAAGGGGAGGAGGAAGGCGATGGAAGAGGGAAGGGGAGGAAGGAAAGGAGGGGAGGGAGAAAGAAAGATTGTGCCCATGTCCTCTCTCTTCCCAGATCTGGGGAAGGCCTCACCCCCCTCCACGTTGCTGCCTCCTGGGGATGCACCGCCTGCTTGGGGCTCCTGCTGACCGAGGGTGGCGACCCTCACCTGGAAGACCAGGTGGGTCCAAGGGCTTCTCTCCCCAGGAGGGGGCGGGTGGGGCTGGCTACCTCTGCCTCCGTTTAGGACTCCGCTGGGGGGAGATTGCCGACTCCACTGCCTGGCCACACAACCCCTGCGACCCACAACTGCGTTAAGGGGAAGAACGGGGTCTGATGACCTCTACTGGCCACTCAGTTTTCCTGTGTTGGCTGGGTCTCTGCCCCACAGGAGCAAATCCCCCCCACCCAAGCATTTAAATCGGTTCTGCTTTTGCCTGATTCTTCCCCTCAGGTGGGGGAAAAAAATCTCTTGTTTCCACTTTAGGATCTGGGGAGGATAAGTTACCCAAAGGTAAATCCCGTCCCGTCAGCTAAACAATGCCGGCTGGCAGGTCCGCGGGGGAGGGCCTTTTCTGTGGCTGCCCCCGCTCTCTGGAACCACTTACCTCCTGAGGTCCGGACCACCCCCACTTTCCGAAAAGCGGTGAAGACCTGGCTTTTCCGGCAGACCTGGGGCCATTGATCTCGCTCTTGTCATCTGGCGAGATCCAGTCATGAATGGTGTGAATGAGTTTTAATATTTTTAATATTTTTAATTCTTAAATGTTTTTTATAATGATTTTAAATGCCGCCCTGAGTCTTCGGAGAGGGGTGGCATACAAATTTTTTTTGTTTTTTTAAATTTGATTTATATGCCGCCCTTCTCCGGAGACTCAAGGCAGCTTACAATGTGCTCAGCAATAGCCTTCATCCTTTTGTATATTTTATACAAAGTCAGCTTATTGCCCCCACAAACTGGGTCCTCATTTCACCTACCTTAGAAAGGATGGAAGGCTGAGTCAACCTTGAGCCTGGTGAGATTCGAACCCTGCAGTAATTGCAGGCAGCTGGTCTTAATAAGCTTAATAACAGGGTGCCTTAAACCCCTGTACTACCAAGGCTCTTGATTGGTAATGAATGAATTGAATGAATGAATGAATGAATGAATTTTCTGTTTCAGCTGGGAAGAAAACTCAGGCCAAGTTTTATTTTTTTTTTTAGGTTTTGTGATTTAGGCCTCCTGCCTGTGTCGTATTTTATGCTGCAAATCCTATTTGGAATTTAAAAGGTTAAATAAACCGTAGATCACGGCTCCCAACTTCATTCCTTTAAATGGAGCGAAGGGGCTCAGACTGAGGACCCAGAGGGTTGGGGGCAAGAGGCTGGCTCCGTAAACCGCTTAGAGAGGGCTGTGAAGCGGCAGACGAGTCTAAGGGCTCTTTACCCCCAGCGGCCCTCTGAAATTCTGAGCTGAAAGCCTGGTCTTGAAAGCTCCCTTCACCCCACTCTCTCAGGTTCCTGCTTGCTGCCCCACAGCCGACAGATTTGACAGGAGACCCATTTCTCCTGAGGACGTGGCTTTGGGGACGTCTCTGCCCCGAGGAGAGTCCGTTTCAGAACCGTTCCTAGCACGACGGTGGTCTTGGGTTGTGATGATGATGATGGTGGACTTGACACCTTCTCTAGATTTCAGGGAGCCCAGATCTGGGGAGCTGGCGGTGGACTGGAAAGAAGCCCCCAGCATGGAGAAAGAGGGCCGCAGCCCCCACTGATTGATTCTGTCTTTCCTTTGTGTCTCAGGATGGGAACTCCGCTTTCGACCTGGCTGTGGAGCAGGGGAACGCAACCTGTGTCAACATCCTGCAGGACGGAGGGTGGAACAGCAGCTTCCGTAAGTGTCTGCCGGTCCTAAGGTCTGTGAAGACTGTCATCCAGGTCAGGATTGTCCCAAAAGTGTTTTTTCAAGAGGCAACTGGACTTTCTTAGTTTTTCCTTGAAGGGGTTTCGCTTCTCATCCAAGAAGCTTCCTCCGTTCTGAGGGAATGGTGGAGGATGGAAGGATTTATATTCCTTGCAGTCACCATATGCACTATTCAGGTGACCCTGAAAGCACAGATAAACCCCCAAGTGGCCTCCAGGACTCTCAGAGAGAGCACTAACGACCAGAGGACTGCCAAGGGGTATAAATCCTTCCATTCCCCACCATTCAGCCAGAACTGAAGAAGCTTCTTGGAGGAGAAGCGAAACATCTTCAAGGAAAAACAAAGAAAGTCCCATTGCCTCTTGAAAAAGCACCTTTGGGACTGCCAAACATAATCTTAACAAAAGCCTTCAAATATTCCTTCCCCCTCTACCCCCCAATCTTTTATGCAGCTCAGCGGAGAGCAGAAAGCTTCCTGACCACCATAATGGAAGATTCTGGGCAAACTGGGCTGGGCAACTCTCTCACTTATCCATCTGGTAGACTGCCACTGTTCTCCCTGAAGGAGGCTCATCAGCACGGGGAGCCACCTGGGACCTTCCGTCAGCCTGGGGGAGCCACTCCCAACAGTGTCCCTGGGCCTTGCACCCAGGATCGGTCGGCCTCTTCCTTTCTCACCGAGTGCTCCTGGCGGGGCGACACGATTTTGGATCTGGCTGACTTCGGGGTCCAGCCGCTGGACTCCCCCAATGCCTTCCTGCCCCCCCGGAAGCCAGCTTCGAGTTGTGCCGACGTACAGAACCCCTGGGATAGCGAGGTGGGGCGCTCTCTGTCGGACGCTGGTGTGAAGCAGTCTTGGGGCATCCGGGCCTCTGCAGAGGAAGGGTGCAGCTCACCCCCAGGCCCAGGGACGGCTCTGGGGGGTCCCCTCTCATTAGTGGGCTCCGAGGGTCTCTCGTTCAGACCGGACATGCCATGCACCGCAGGATCCCCACAGAAGACCCTGCCCTCTGCCAGCCTCGGAACCAGGCCTGGACCAGAAGCGGCCCCACTCCGTCACCCACAGGATGCCAACGCCTGTGGCCTTTCTCAGGGGTGTGGCTCCCTGGATCCCGGCCTCTCGGTGACGATCCCAAGCCAGGACGGGCTGGACATCACCTGCCTTGGTCACCTGGCTGAGTCCACAGCCGTGTCGGACTTGGGAAAGATCGTGGTTGACCCGGCCTCTGTCCTGGGGGTCAGCGGGACTCTGGACGGATGCTCAGGGAGAGGAAGGTCTCTGGGCAAGTGCTCAGCCGCCAGCACTGACCGGTATCTTTCGTGCATTAGTGAATGTTATGCAAGTGCTGTGGAAGGCCCAGGATACGGCTACGTTCATGAGTGGGAAGACAGAAAGGCTGCCCCTAGTGGCCCTGCGGGTGGCTGCAACACCAGCAACGGAGGGTCGGGTCGTGGGCCTCCAGCCTGCATGGGGACCGGTCTCCGTGGCCAGAGGATTCTCCCCACCAGAGGGGCTGCCCGGATCTTTCCCGGGAGTCAAGATTTGGCTCTGCCCCACAGCAAGAACACCTGGGAGGTTTCACAGAGGAGGGAAAGGTCCATGATGGACCCCCCAGAGAACGAGGCTCCTTGGGAAGGGTCTGCGTGGGGGACTGAGGGACCCACTGAGACTTGGGGGCTGCCCGTGAGACGCCAGGAGCCAGCCCTCTTTGGAGCGAGGGAAGAGCTGGCGGAGGTGGGCATGAGAGGGTTAGGGTTAGGGAGATCGGCTCTCCCCACAAGCCCCCGGCAGGCAGGAGAGGGGCAACCGAGCTCACCCACTCAAGACACCATCCCTGTCCAGTGGACGTCGGAAGGGAGGAATCATTTCCGTGGCTGTGGGGGTCCACTTGGGCCCAGCAGCACTCTGGGTGGCACAGAGATGGCCCCGAGCCCACTTGCCATCGTTGGAGAAGAGCCCCCCAGCGCTCTGGATGCCCAGCTGCGGTCGATGATGCTGGCCACCAAGGTCGCCCACTCCCCACTCCTCCCTTCGAACCGGAAGTGCTGCCCTGCGCCCCCCTGCCCCCAAAGCCCCCTGATTGGGGCCCTTCCCCAGCAGAGCCTCAGCACCGCCTCTCTCTTCGAGGAGCCCCTGGAGATGCCGAGGCGCCCCAGGAGAGTCAGGAGGGGCCCCGGACCCCGAGGGGCTGCCAGTCTCAGCCGCTCGCCTCCCCCGGCCAGAGAGGCAGAGGAGACGGGGGAGGGCAGAGCTGTCTCGGCTGTTCCCAGCTGCAGGAAGATGTCCTCGAACCCAGGACCTGGCCCTTGGGGCTGCTCCCTTGCCAGCTCAAGGGGAGACCCCTCCAGGAGGACAGAGTTGGGGGCAGGAAAACCCTCTTCAGGAGACGCTGCTCAGGGCTGCCCAGAGGTTGGGCGTCTGGAGAGCTTGGGAGTCCGAGGGTCTCTGGGCAAGCGAGCGGAGGAGACCTCCAGAGTCAGTTTCAGCCGGCTGTCTGGGAGGGGCCCGTCTGCCACTTGTCCCCCAGGAAGGCTGAGCCCCATTTGCCAGGAGGTGCCGCTGTCGCCGGGGGGCCGGCCTGCAAACCTGAGCGCCACGGAGCCCGTGGAATACCTGTACGTGGATGAGGAAGAGGGACAGACCCTCATCGAGCGGCACCTGCCCCCCACGGACGACTCGGGGGCCAGCAGCTGCGAAGACACCCTCGTTTGCGACTGGCGGGCGTGTGCCAGGGCAGCGGTGGGCAGGCAGGGCAATGGGGAACGCGCCCCCTTGAACCCAGAGTACCTGACCGATGAAGCTCTGGCACGCAAGTTGCGTGAGTTGGGGGCTGATCCAGGACCAGTGACGCCCCTCACTCGGAAGTTGTACGTGCAGCTCTTGGAGAGGCTGAGCAGGGACCCTGAGACCCCGGCCCGGAAGGGCTCTGCAGGTGGGTGCCTCTGGGGGAAGCTGGAGGAGAGAGAGACTCTCCTGGGGGAGGGGGGAGAAGGGAGGGGGGGGAGGAGAGCTTGAAAAGTAAATTGAGGTGGGGGCAAAGTGGGGAAGGTGAGGTTTGTGGGCCGATGTCCCGGGTGCAAGGGGGAAGGTCCTGGCCTTAAGGGAGCAGGAGGGGGGGGGTGTCCCTGACTGACCCTCTTCCCGGAGGAGCTCAAGAGAAGTCCTGAACAAGATGTGGGTGGGGGGATTTGACCCACCAGAGGACCCGGCTCCTTCCAGGGGTCCTGGGCCCACCCCCCTCTTGTGCTCAGCCTACAGCCCAGAGCTGGCCTCTGCCCTGGACACCTACCGGATCCCCACCTCCAAAGCCGACGAGATGGCGCTGGCCGCAGAGTTTGACCGGCCGGACAAGAGCCGGAGGTGGCGGGGAGGGCTGCTGAAATCCAGCTTCAACTACCTGCTGCTGGATCCCAGGTAGGAGCCCTCGGAGGGAGGAGGGGGGCTATGGGGGCAACATGGCTGCCTGGGCCGGAGAGCCAAGGCAGCTTTGGGGGCTGCGGGGAGACCCTCACTGCGGCTGATGGCCTTGGGGTCTGCTCTTCTGCAGGGTGACCCAGAACCTGCCCGCCCGCTGCCAGCTGCTCAGTCCGGACGAGACCTTCCGGACCTTCGTCCGTGCCATCTTCTATGTGGGCAAGGGGACCCGCGGCCGGCCCTACCGCCACCTCTACGAAGCCTTGACCCACTACCGGGAGGGCCAGGGGACGCCGGCATGTCCGCAGGTGGGGGGTTGTTGACAACTCTGGGACCTTCTCAGGAGAGTTTCTTGAGCCTCCTCCGCTAAGTGTGGAGCTTCCAAATTCAGGGGCAGTCTAGCTTTGATCCCTTGGGGATCGATCTTTGGCTGCTTGGTGTGGCTGCCTGACCCTCGGCTTGGAAGCAGCTGTTCTGCCCCCTCCCCAAGTGGGGCTTAGATTGCAAACCCCAGAATTGCCTCCCTCCTTGTGGGAGGCTGCAGTTTGGGGAAGGGGAGGGGGCCGTCTGGGTCCATGTGCCTCCCCAAAGAGGCGGGCAGGGCTTTGTTCCGCCCACCTTGGTGGCGGCTGCCCTTTGACCGGGGTCTCCCTCTGCCCTGCAGGTCTCCTCCAAAGTCCAGCACATCCTGGAGATTTGGGCCGGGGGGCAGGGGGTCGTCTCCATGCACTGCTTCCAGAACGTGGTTCCTGTGGAGGCCTACACCCGCGAGGCCTGCATGGTGGATGCCATCGGTAAGGGCTCTGGGGGTCCACACGACGGGGGGGAGGGCTCCCTCTTCCTTGCAGGCCCCCTTCTTCCTTAAACCCCCCACCCCCAGGTTAGCTATGTCTCAACTCCATGGACTTCAACTCCCAGAATCCCTCAGCCGGCTCAGGTTGGAGACCCCTGTTCTAGTCCCACCCCCTGCCCAAGGCAGGAGTGAGTTTCATCCCCTTTTTCTTTCTGCATTTGACCACAGCTGCTTCTGCCCACCTGGCCTTTCCCAGCCCTGCCCCCCCCCCCCCCCGACCCCCCGGGGGGGGGGGACTGTGCCCAAACCCCCTCTTGGCCCAGGCGTTGGCATTTGGGGCAGCCCTCCGTGCAGGGAGGGTGGGAATCTGGAGGGTCCTTGCAGGGTGCTGTGTGATTGCAAGCCCTTTCTCCCTCTTGCCTCCCCCTCCCCAGGTCTGAAGATGCTGACCAATCAGAAGAAGGGGAACTATTACGGCCTGGTGGTCGGCTGGCCCATGAAACGCCGGCGGAGTCTGGGGGTCTTTCTCCTGCACCGAGCTCTGCGGATCTTCCTGGCCGAGGGCGAGCGGCAGCTGCGGCCCGCTGATATCTGAACTGGCCCTTGAGCCGGGGGGGGGGGCCTGAGGGCCTCTTCCCTCCAAGCAGAACCTCTGGGCCTGGGGCTCATCCGAGGGGCTTGACCCAATCCCTCCTTCACACAACCGAGGGTCCGGATTCTGGAATCCCTCATCACGAGCTCCTGCGCTGGACGCTGAGCGGAGAGTGAACGCTGCACCCGTGTTCAGAAGCGATTTTGGGGGCTGGGTTACCTGCAGAGGAGCCCTGCTGTTTGCTGTGGCTGGCACACCTGGTGGGTGGGGGTCCCAGTTGCATCCAGTCACATTGTGGGAGAGGGTCACAGAGCGAAGCAGGAACCCCAAGGCCCTTCCCAAGCAACAGCTGTGGGCTCAGCCCCCAACCCTCCATCCGTGGGGGACCCTGGGGAGGGGTCTTCCCGCACCCTAAGGGCACCACAGTCAGCTCTTCTGGGAACCTTCACGGGTGCCTCTTCCTCCTTTTGTGCAGGTGGGCCTGAGGGATGTTTTACGGGGGCCGGGGGGGACTTTTAAAAAAATGCTGGGGCTGCATTATGTTTTTAAAGATTTTTCTGGTTACCCCTTATCTGGGATTGGGGGCATTAAACGAGACGAGCGCTGGATTTTTTCTTTTTGAGGTGGGGAGGGGGTGTAATTGAGGAGGGGAAAAGGGGAGGATTAGGAACCCCAGGGCCTCCCATCTTTCTTTACAGGCGGTCCTTGACATATGACCAATCACTTAGTGACTGTTAGAGGTTCTGATGAGCCCCCCCCAAAACGTACTTATGACTGAGATTCAAAGTTCTGGTGGCCATCCTCCCCCCTCCCCTCCCCCTATAACCACATTTTGGGCATTTGGCAAGTGGCTTTAATTTATCCTCCATCTCAGACTAAATACTTATTCATTAAATTTATTTGCCGCCTGTCTTGTTTCTAAGCGATTCTGGGCACTGTATTGCGGATAATGGACTCACTTAATGACTGTAATTTTCACCTTACAGCTGCCACGTTTGCTTTACGACCGCTGCAAAAAATGTAAAATTGGGTCGGTCACGTGGGTGCCTTGACGTAACAACTATCACGACAGATGACAGAAACCCCAGGGCCCGTTATGGTGATATAATTTGAGGACTAGCAAAGTTTCTTCTTGAAAGCTTCCAGTAATGGAGCACCCCCAACTTCTGGTGGCAAGCAGTTCCACTGATTAATTGTCCTGATTGTTAGACAATTTCTCCTTAGTTCCAGGTTCCTTCTCTCCTTGATGAGTTTCCACCCGTTGCTTCTTCTCCTGCCCTCATCAGGTGCTTTGGAGAATAACTTGACTCTCCCTCTTCTTTGGGGCAGCCCCTGAGATATTGGAAGGCTGCTATCCTGTCCCCCCTGGTCCTTCTTTTCTCTGCCCAAACCCAAATCCTGCAACCGTTCTTCATCTGTTTCTGTCTCCAGGCCTTTAGTCCTCCCAGTTGCTCTTCTTGGCACTTTTGGCAAGAAGAGCGACTGTTAACTGTTCAGCTGTTGAGTGGCTTGAATTTTCTCCCTGCAAATGTGGTCTGAAGCTTTTCCAGCCCCTGGGGGGCTTCCTGGGATGGGTGGAGGGGGGGGGAATGGCTCCAGCAGAGCTCCAACATCCCACCTCTTCTCTTCCCTTCTCAGCCAGAAATGCAAAGCCAGGCTGCATTTCCCAGGTGCAGAAACCCCTCCCTCCTTCCTTTCTTTCTTTCTTTCTTTCTTTCTTTCTTTCTTTCTTTCTTCTTCTTCCTTTCCTTCTTTCTTTCTTTCTTTCTTTCTTTCTTTCTTTTTCTTCTTTCTTTCTTTCTTTCTTTCTTTCTTTCTTTCTTTCTTCCTTTCTTCCTTCCTTTCTTTCTTCCTTCCTTTCCTTCCTTCTTCCTTCCTTCCTTCCTTCCTTCCTTTCTTCCTCCCTCCCTCCCTCCCTCCCTCCCTCCCATAAGGTAGCTAACATATCCAGCATACCTTCTTCGCCCCACACAACAACCCTGTGAGGTGGGCTGGGCTGAGACTTCGGGACAAGGTCACCTTGCCAGGTTTCATGGCTGACTGCCATTTGGGTCCTTGGAGCTGCCCCATTGGATGGGAAGGGGGCAGCCACTGAGATGGCCAAGCCAGCATCCTTTTGGGGAGGGGGGAGAACAACCAGAGCCAACCTGATGCCAGGCACAGAAGATTGCCCTGCAAGGGGGAGAGGGCACCACCTGGTGTCCCTCAGCCAATCAGCCTCGATGGGTAAACTCAAAAGAGAAGGAAGCCCACCTCTCTGGAACACAAGACCCTTTATTTAGGACACAGTGCAGGCCGCGGCTTCTTCCCAGGGAGGGAGGTTCAATTGGCAGCCCTCAAAAAGTCCCTGCTTACGATTCCAAACAGATGACTCTCCTTTAAGAATTGGGTTCGAGCCCTTCCCAAGTCCGGCTGCCAGTCAGAGATGGAATTTGAACACATTTTTGCAGAAAAAGTGTGGGTGTGTGGATGGAGAGATGCATTTGGTAACTGCAGCTTTAAGAGGGGTGGACTTCAATTCCCAGAATTCCAGCCAGCATGGGGCATTCTGGGAGTCAAAGTCCCTCCCTCTGAAAGCTGCAGAGGTTGAGAAATACCCACCCTACTGGTTCAATTACTCCTTGAAACGTGATTCGACATTTTCTCCTGCTGGGAGCAATGAAGCTTTGCTACCCAAATAGTTCAGAATTATTATTTTTGGCCTCACTTTCCTCAGCAGACCAAGGAACTTCAAGGGAGCTCTATGGGTGAAGAGACATCTATCTGTGCGCATGCAAACAGAGTAAGAAATTTTGACTGGGTCCAACTTGAGGGACTCAACCACATGGCTCCATCCAGGAGTCCCCAATTTCCCCGGAGGGATGAGAGGGTCGACCTTCTTTAGCTGGGGACGTGCAGCCTCTGGAGAGGAAAAATGGCATTTTACGGATGTTTGGGTTCACCTTATTCCTGCACAGAGCCCAGGAATTGAAAGGCACATAATTTGTGCACCTGGACCCCAGTCCTTGGCAGCTGCAGGTGCCACAAAGGGGGTCCCTTTCCTGGTGATTTGTGGTAAGTGAGAAATTGTGTAGACTTTCTACGAGCAAATGGCAATAAGGGACTGTCTTGAACTACAACTTTGCAGTTGTTTAATCTGTCAACTATTTTTTTCTTTCATATGTGTTAATGTCTGACGGGTCCAATAGATGTAGAAGGTTACAAATTTTGGATTTGTTTTGCAAGGGACGGGAAAAGCTGCTGCTGCTGTTGCAATACGTTTGCCAGTGTTTCAACCAGAAGAGAAAATACGTTTTTTTTGTCTTTTGTGTTTCATTTTTTTTAATGCTCTTGTCTTATGTCTGTTAATTTTTTTCTTTTGTATTTTAATCCTTTGAATAAAATTGGGGGAAAAAAGAAAGTGGGTGCTTTTCCCATCCTTTTTTTGAGGGGGGGGAAAAGAGGAAATTGGTGTAAGGGGAGCAGCTCATCCCTTCCTGAGGCAGACGGGCAAGGAGGCACTGGCTGGCACAGACGCTCCTTTGAACTTTAAATTGTCTTTGGGGTCCAGGGGAAAAAAAAAATAAGGTGGGCTCTCTTACCAGCAACTCCCATTGGCTGACCCTCAGCTGGAGGCCCCCATTTTCTGGGTTGTCTGATGCACGATGCCCGACTAAATGCCCAGGCTCCCATCCCATAAAAGCCATCTAAATGAACCTAATCAATCCTGGCAAAAGAGGAAAGGTGCCCAGTCTGAGGACAAACACTGCCAAAGGGGGGTGGGAGCGAATGACTCTTGGGGTGGGGGTGGGGCGATCAGCCAGGCAGGAGGGGGGAACGGGGTGGGTGGGTGGGTACAGTGCCATTTTTGGATGGCTCAGCTCCAAGGAGACCCTAATGGGGACCTGGCTTGATGCTGGGTGGGGGATCTGCTCCTTCTGGATTGGACCGGCCCCAGCTGGCAGCAGCTCCTGGCCAGTCGGGTGGGGGGGGAGTCCCCAAATTAAACCAGGGTCTTTCCAAGAGGACTCTCAGGATTTCCCCCACTGAGCCCCAGACCCTTCTGGAACCAACCTGGGTGCCCTGATAAGGGGCGGGTCTTAATCGGGACTTTGATAGGTGGTCCTTGATTTACAACTCTTTGTTTAGTGACCACTTGAAGCTACGATACCACTGAAAAGAGTGGCTGATAGGAGGGGGGAGGACACGGAATAGATGAATAGGGAATGTACAGGAGCGTTTTGCACACGGCCCTTGCAGCCTCCTCGGGGTCACGTGATCGGAATTAGGATGTTTGGCAACTGGCAGGGACTTAGGACGGTTGCAGCATCCCAGGGAGGGTCGGGTGATTCCCCCCCTTTTGCCACCTTCTGACAAGCAAAGTCAGAAGCCAGATTCGCTTAATAATAGTGTTACTCACTTAACAACTTCAGGAAGTTTGCAAAAAACTCACCCGTCTCACTTAGCAAACAAATATTTTGGGTTCAGTTGTGGTCATAAATTGAGGAACCAGCTGCATTTCTGCCCAAAGGGGAAGGGGCCGAGAAAAGCTCTCCAAGCCCCCCCCCATGTGAAATTCCCAGCCTCTGGACTCCATTCCGGAAAGAGGTCGAGGCCGAAGCAGAGATGGGAATGGCACCAAACTCTCCTCTGGATGCCCGGCTGCCAACCCTCCAAGTTGAGAACTGGCACCATTTACCCTGCAATACCGTTGGGGAGGGGGGGGGTAGATACAACTTTGCAAAGTTTATTTACAAACACCGTGGGGAGGGGCACAGGTGAGGGAAGGGGCAGGGGTCTGGACCCCCATCTTGGGCTGAACTCCAGCATCTCCTAAGTTGGAAAGAAGCGATGTGGGGAGGGGGCGACAGCCTCTCCCCCCTCTGGCGGGCTCCAACCACATTCAGTGCTAGCATTCTTGGGATTGCAGCCCCCAGTCCTTGGGATGGGGGGGGGCAGAGGCTGGTGAGGATTCTGACAAGACAAGGATGCAAGGGGTTGGAGCATCCTGGCCCCCGCTCTGCCCCCAGGTTGGGCTGCTGGGGGGCTTCGGCCCCACGTCCTTCTCTTCCACCAGCAGCGTGGGAGAATTCAGCCTGCAAATTCCCACCACCTCTTCAGACGCAGCTGCGGTGGGGCAGAAAACATCAAATGTCAGCGGTCCACACGGGCACCCTTCCACCCGCATGCCCGCTCCGAGAGGGCACCCCCTTGGCCCAGTCCAGGCATCAGGAAGGAAGCCCCAGCATCCCTTTGCAGAGACTCCAAAGCCCATCATCCTGCTGCAAGAAGCAAAGCAGCTTCTGCCCGTCCACCTCTCTTCTCTGCCTGAAGTTTTGGGGGTGCTGATAGTTGCTGGCTGCTGTCCTTCGGTTCAAGGGTTCCCCGCATTCCAGCTACATACCCCACACCGGGCCCCCCAAGCAGGGAGACAAAGCACCGTCTCCCCATCCGTGACAACTCTCGGCATCCACCGTAAGAAACTCTCCTTGGGCAGCCACCAGAGCGTGGCCCCGGGACCCTCAGAATGGACCCCCATCCACCAGCTACTTCTTTCCCACCGGGGGGCCCTCTTCAGAGGGGAGGGGCTCCGGCTCCCAGAGTAGGAACTCGTGCAGGAGGGTGTTGACCGTCTCCGGACACTCCAACATCACCATGTGGCTCCCTTCGTCTATCACCTTCAGGAAGGCCAGCAGCAGGATCTGGGGGCGAAAAGGGCGGGGAGGGGGCTCAGTCAGGTGGCCTGCAGGTTGGGGAGCCCTTGGGGAGGGGGCTTCAGGAGCCCCCCAGCTGTGTATGGGGCTGCTCTTCTGCTCTCTCAGTGCAGCCTGCATTCTCCCTTGAACTGCAGAGGACAATATCTTCTCTCTGTTTGTTTGTTTGTGTGTGTGTGTGTGTGTGTGTGTGTGTTTCACTTGCAGCTTTGTGCAAGCTGCCCTTGTCTTCCCTGACCCCCCCCCCCCAGAGAGGCAGTTGATGCCCCCCTCCTGAAACTGTCATGCGCCGTTTTGCTGCTCTGAACCGATGCAGCTTTTCTGACCCACAAGCTGGAAGTCGTGACCAGCTGGCAATCTGCCCCCCCCCCACCCCAGTGAGACCTTGACTTAAATTTTAATTTGGTGGTGGGGGGAATTGGGAGGGCTGATGTGCTTCCCACACAGATTATCCAGATTGGACAAACTTCGCCTCCACCGAAATGGCCCTCAGCCTCCCCCCCCTCCTGTGTCCCTCCTGCAATCAGGTGAACAGCATCTCCGCCTTCTTTACAAGCCCCTCCCTCTCTCATAGGCCCCTCCCTGAATTCCGTCCAGCCAATCTTGCTGCATCTGGGCCCATCTGCCTGAAGGGGACCCTGACCCCCCCCCCCACCCTTCCTGGGCATCTCAACCGAGCAGCCTCCCAGGGCAGCAAAGGAGACCCTCCCCATGGAGACGCCTCGGGTGTCACTCAAGGGGAAGCCATCAGGGGCTCCCTGGGGGCTAAGAGGGTTCTGGGGGGGTGCGTGGGACAGGGCCCCGCAGCCGTACCTCCGCCATGCGCTGGTCCTCCTCCACGGGCACAAACTTGTCGTGCATGCCATGTACCAGCAACACGGGCACGGTCAGCTCGGCGTGGTAGACCTCGTCCCCCTCCGGCCAGTACTGCCCGCTCATCATGGCCCTCAGGACGAAGGAGGAGACGTTGAAGGCGTTGCCCTCCTTCAGCAGCTGCTTCTCCTTGGCACCCTGGCGGGCAAAGCCGGCTCTGCCAGGGAGAAGGGCACGGGATTAGCATGGGGGGGGGAGGGGGAAAGGGGGGAAGCCAATGGGGAGCCCGGAGGAGAGGGGTGGTTCAAGGCCATCTGGGCCCCCAAACAGACGGGCAGGGCCTGGGAGGGTCCAGGGGGGGAAAGACACCCATGGGGAGACCTGCCCCCCTCGTCCCTGACCCCAGAGGCTCCCTTGCGGAAGCTCCAGGCCAGGCAGGGCGAGAGGGTGCCTGGAACGGGAGCTGCTGCTGCCGCCACCACCACGCAGGTCCGGTGGGCAGCCCAGTTGTGGCAGGGGAGCTCTGCCCACTCTCCCCCCCCCCCGTCCCCATCCCCCCAGGAGGCTCACTTGAGGAAGCTCCAGGCCAGGCAGGGCGAGAGGCAGCGCAGCAGGCAGGGGGGCATGTTGAAGATGGAGCAGAGGCTGGGCTCCAGGGCGGTGGGCCCCCCTCCGTTCACCATGATGACTTTGTGCACCAGATCCGGGTATTCGTGGGCCAGGAAGGTGCAGAAGGAGACCCTGAGACGGAGGACACGCAGGGCGGGCAATGAGACGCGGCGAAGGTGGCCTCTGCGTCCCTTGTAGGGAAGCGGAGAGCCTCCATGTTCAGAGGCACTCTACGCAGGTCGTCCTCCACTTCACTTAGTGACCATTTGAAATTACAAGAGGGCAGAAAAAAGAGACGTAGGGCCGTTTGGCACCTGTACGGCCACCGCAGTTTCCCCCCACGGACATCATGGGATTAAAATTGGGATGCTCTTGCAAGATCCCGGGACACCCTTTTGTGACCTTCTGATGAGCAAAATCAATGGGGGAAGCCAGATTCGCTTAACAACCATGCAACTAACAACTGCATCGCTTTGCTTAATGACCACAGCAAAAAAAATCCACTGTAAAATGAGAGGTAATGCACTTCACCGTCTTGCTTAGCGATGTAAATTCTGCTCCCGATTCTGGTTGTAAGTCGAGGACTACCTGCCCGCAAGAAGCCACCAGGAGAGCCCCCGTCCCCTTTCCCTCTTACCCGTAGGAGTGTCCAATCAGGATGTTTCTTTTCTTGGCGTACCGCTTGAAGAGGTTGCGCAGGTCTTCCGCCAAGGCGTAGAAAGTGTAGGCGGCCGCGATCTGGGGGGCAGAGCTGGCCCCGTGCCCAGCCAGGTCGGGGGCCACCACCTCGTAGCCCAGCTTGGTGAAGAAGTCCACCTGCTCCTTCCAGATGTCCGAAGAGCCGCCCACCCCGTGGATGAAGAAGAGCACCACGTCCCGGTGGGTCCCCTTGCAGCTGCCGATGTACTTGGTGCAGTCGATGTGCACCACTTTCTTGGGCTTCTGCCGGCGGCGTTTGAGAGCCGGTCCCCCGCCGGCTGTGGGGGTCCCTGCGGCTGGATTCGCATCTGAGACTTCTGCCTCAGCTGCGGCCTGAGCCTCAGCGCCATTCTGCGGGACGTCCGGCTGCACCGCCTCGGCCAGGTTCTCGATGACCATCTGGCCATTGCGGTACACGGCGATCCGGCGCTTGCAGTGCACGGCGCCCGTCTTCCGGGGTTCCTCCTCCGTGCCGGGGGGTCGGGAGGGGGCCACGTGCTTCACCCGCAGGACCCGCCCGGGCTTGACCTCCACGAAGCTGTAGCCGTCGCTGGACTCGACGGGCTCCAGGGGCCCCACCACGTTCGGCGCCTTGCCCAGCAGGCAGCAGAGGAGCCCATCAGCGATGCTGGTCAACATGGCGACTCCTGGGGTCCTGGGGGAAGAAGGGATCAGGCAGATGTTCATTGGGGCATCGCATCCCAAAAGGAGACGCACAACATCCCTGGCAGGTAGGCTACCTTTGCTGCTGTTAGGGCAGTCAGTGCCAGGCAGGCAGAAGGGCCACTCACGGAGAATATTTGTAGCTCGGGGTGGAAACGAGGAGTCCTTGGCGCTCTCTGAGCTGGCTTGTTTTCTTCCAGACGTTTCATGACCCAGCTAGGTAACATCATCAGTGCTCGAAGGGAGTGACCACACTCCTTACTAGCACTGATGATGTTACCTAGTTGGGTCATTAAACATCTGCAGGAAAACCATTCGCTGAGAGAGCCCCAAGGAGCCCTCAGAGGGACCTTGGCACCTTTCTCAGCTGCCACCAACCTGTTGACGTCCCTGTGGGTGAGCCGCTGCTCAAAGGGGGCCCTGGGGCCACACGCCTCCCCCCCCCTTCAATGGGTGCCTTTCCCATACAGGAAGTCCTCGACTTACGACGACAATTGAGCTCCTAAGTGAGACATTTGTTAAGTGAATTCTGCCCCATTTTATGACTTTTCTTGCCACAATTATGAAGTGAACCGCTGCAGTTGTTAACTGAGTCACATGGTTGTTAAGCGAATCTGGCTTCCCCATTGACTTTGCTTGCCAGAAAGTTGCAAAGTGGGATCACATGACCCCGGGATACGGGCAACGGTCATAAATATGAATCGGTTGTCAAATTTTGATCATGGGAACATGGCGATACTGCAACGGATGTAAGTGTGAAAAACGATCATCAATCACCTTTTCCAGTGCCGTTTTAATTTTGAATGATCACTAAATGAATGGTTGTAAGTCGAGGACTACCTGCACATGCAAAATGCCCAGGGGGTGTGTCAGCGAGAGAAAAGGGAGCCCCCTCCCCGGCTGCCACAGGCCTGAGGGGCTTTTGGGTCTCCAAAATGACCCTCCAGGCTGCAGACTCAGATCAGAAAGATGGAGAGAACTTGGCACATGAACCTCTCTCTCTTTCTCTCTTTCTGACTCTTTCTCTCTCTCTCTCTCTCTCTCTCTCTCTCTCCACTCTTTCTCTCTTTCCCTGACACTTTTTCTTTCTTTCTTTCGTTCTCTTTCTTTCCTCTTTCTTTTTCTTTCTTTCTTTCTTTCTCTCTTTCTCTCTTTCTCTCTTTCTGACTCTTTCTCTCACTCTCTCTCTCTCTCTCTCCACTCTTTCTCTCTTTCCCTGACACCTTTTCTTTCTTACTTTCGTTCTCTTTCTTTCCTCTTTCTTTTTTTTTCTTTCTTTCTTTCTTTCTTTCTTTCTTTCTTTCTTTCTTTCTCTTTCTTTCTCTTTCTTTCTCTTCCTTCCTTTTCTTTTCTTTTTCTTTCTTTTTTTCTCTCCCTCTCTCTCTCCATTCTCTCTTTCTCTCTTTCTCTCTCTCTCTTTCCCTTTCTGACTTTCTCTTAATGACTTTCTTTTTCTTTCTTTCTCTTTCTCTCTCTCTCACCATTCTCTTTCTTTCTCTTTCTGACTCTCTTACTTTCTCTCTCTTTCCCTTTCTGACTCTCTCTCTCTCTCTCTCTGCTGCCCCTTATTTTAACTTAAAAAAACTGAGCTAGCGGCCTGAGTGAATTGGGCATGGAGTGGGCGGAGAAGGGGGAGGGTTGCTGGAGGGTCTAGGCCAGACCCGCACCCCCTGCATCACCCACTTCCTGACCTTTGCAACTGAGGCTCTCTGTGTCCAGCAGCACCATGGCTGAGTTTGAGTAGCAGGCAGAAGGGTGCCTCTCTTTCTGTCAGGTGGGGGACACAACTCCTGTCACAATGCACCTGGTGACGCAGGTGGGAATCACCCAGGCTGGGCCATCAGAGTGGGAATCATCGGCACAGAGCTTCTGCTGGACATCAAGAAACCCCCGAGGGCACCCCCGGCCCCAGGATGGGTCTGCAGACCAAGAAGGACCTCCGGGGATCTCCCCCTTAAATCCACTCCTGCTTCTCCTATTTGAATCACGGAATTTGTGACATAGTTAAGACAACTGTTGTGGTCCAGCAGCCGCCTGTGGAGCTGGCAGCGGAGTCGGACAGCGGTGAGGCTGAGGAAGAACATGGGTCACTCCGAGCGAGCCCCCCCTTAATTCCCAGGAAGTGACCCAGACCCCTCCCTGCAAGATATGGATGGGAGTGATTCTTCATGGTTTGGCTCTTACACACCCACGTGCTCCTGCTTGGTGCCCTGCACTTACAGGTGTGAAAGAGGCAGCCGTTTTGTGATGGGGGCAGATCGCAACCGATGCAATGTTGGCAAAAGGACCAGAACGAGAGCCGGTTTCCATGCCAACAGGATGAAGCCTTGAAAAAGCACCAGGATCAAAGTGGGATTGGCCCTGTTGGGGCTCATAAAAGCAGACGGGAACTGTAGTCCTTGGGAGACATGCCCTCCAACAAGTGGGCTCCCTCCTTGCTCCTTCTGGTCTCCAATCCAGCCAGTGAGGCTCGGGGTGTGAGAGAGGGAAGGAGTTAAAATGTTTGTTCCAGAGCAGGGGTCTCCAACCTTGGCAGCTTTATAAGACTTGTGGACTTCAACTCCCAGCTTTGCTGGCTGAGGAATTCTGGGAGTTGAAAACCACAAGTCTTAAAGTTGCCGAGGTTGGAGACCCCTGTTCCAGAGAGTATCAGTCAAGGAGGCAAGCAGGTTCCTGCAAGTTCCTAGACCTCTTGAACCACAGAAGTATCCTAAAATGTTATCTTCCCCTGGCTCAGAGCAACCGGGCAGCTGATAGCTTCTCCCCGCTCTCTGGGGGTGTGGCGGGAGTGGGGCTTGGACCTGGGCAGGGAGAGGAAGGGGCGTTTCCCCTGCCTCTCAGTCAGAAGGGCAGAATCGAGATATCAGGTGAAGGGTTAGTGCCACTTTATAAGGCCCTGGAAAGGCCACACGGAGTGGCTGTTTACCTGCTATCCATCCCCTTCCATCCCTTTGAGGAAAGTTAGCACCCACCCCTCTCCTAGAAGAATTAAATATTTTGAGAAATATTAAAAACACAGAATATTATATTTTCCTGGATGAGAAATGGAGAAACATGCCCTTGGAAAGCAGCCCCCACCTTCCTTAATAGCACATAGCAGATGTCAGCACTTAAGAGATAAAGAGATGGCTAGCTCTATTCATAAGCAAATCCCCTCGCCCAAGATCCAACAAAGGTAGGATTAGCACTCAGCCACAACAGGAATTGCCCAAAGCCCCTTCATTGCGCCACCCCCAGCAAACTTCAACCAAACTTAGCTCAGACAAACATAACCCCTACATGGCCCCATGGGAGTCTGACAACAACCAATAGAATACATTTCTTGCACAGGAACAGGAAGCTCAAGTGCAAAGCCCAAGAAAAGGTATAAAAACCCCTCCCTCTCAATGCAGGGTTCCAAGGAACACCCCCAACGAAAGAAGACTCCGAGGCTTGAAGTTCCTCAAAGTTCCATTTTATTAGAGATGTCATATTGGCACATCTGGGAAAACCCGAATCTGAAAGCTTCCAGGTTTTCCCCACCCAACAGAAAGTCCAAGTCCTTTGCCTCTGCACCCACATGTCCATCACATGGTCCAATCAAACCACTGTCCCAACTGGAGATGCCTCCCAGTCACACCCCTCCAGGTGCAGGGCAAGATGTCCTTGACTCTCCGAGAAAGGAATGTTATTATGACTATATATCACCCATGCTCCAGACAATCCCCCCTCCCAGTTTCCCACAGCAGGAAATGTGGCAGGCCTGAAGGCTCAATGCAGAAGATGGCTTCCAGGCCTGACACTCAACTCCATCTGGTCAGCTGTCCAGAATCACATGTGCTTGGTAGTTTGACTTCATCAATAAATGGACCCTCTTTCCAATCGTTTTGTCTCCAGTCCAGTGCCTTTCTCCCGGCTTGGAATGGAACCAGGTGGCTATTTCTTCCCACACCTTCGTCCTTTCAAAGCCAACCACAAGTCTAACCTTTGATCCATCCAGCAGGTGCCACGCTGGGTGGGATTTTGTGGGAGGTGCCACGGAAGAGAATTCAGCCCTGGCAATATGGCTGCCCGTTGCCTCTGCCAACCCTGTCTCCCATCTGGGGCACCTTCTGAACCCAGCCCCCCCCCGAAATGCAGGAGACCATTGTTAAAAGAAAACAGAGTGGAAGAGGAAGAGGGGCGGATGCTGGTATCCATGGAGACCAGGGCAGGCTTGGGTACCACTCTCTCCGGCTGGAAGGAAGAAGTTGCCAATTGCGATTGCGTAACCAGCTGGTTGAATCAGAAAGGGGGTGAGTTGCATAAGCCTCCCTCCCCATCCTTTTAGGGGGGGTCTTCAGACCCACAAAAGGGAAAAACCTAGCGATTCTGAGGGGTTTCATGTTTCGTTCAAGTGACCTCCTCAATGCCAGTTGGGTCATGAAACATTTGCAACAAAACAACCGAGTTCAGAGAGCATCAAGGACCCTTCAATCCTCCTCCTCTCTACAAGCCCCCTCCCTTCTAGCACTGAAGATGTTACCTAACTGGGTAATGAAACACCTGCAAAAAAACTTGCTGAGTTTAGACAGCCCCAAATACCCACAGCTCTCCTCTTGCCCCTCCTCCAACCCATTCCCTTCTAGTCCTGATGACATTACCTAGCTGGGTCCTGAAACGTCTGCGAGAAAATAACTAAGCTCAGAAAGCACCAAGGACCCCGCAATTCAGCCCTGAGCCCCAAAGGTTCTCCTGTCTTGGCACTTCAGAGGCTAATTAAGAAGCAAACGCTGGCATTAAATGTCACCTCCTGGCTAGGAGCCATTTGCATTCAGGGTCAGACTCCAAGCTCCAGGGAGGGTCTCCGGTTGAGGTCATCTTGGGCTGGTGGGTCTGGGATTCTGCTGAATCCACCTTTCTTCCCCCCATACATCAGGGTTCAATGGGGCTCTGAGGGTCTCCACCATGTGCAGCTGGGAGAGGGAACCACCAGCAACCCTCCCACGGTGAAGTCCTCTTCCTGAAGGCCACCCCATTGGCCCCCCCAGATGCCTCAGTGGCCCAAATGGGAACAGGAGCAGCCCCGTTTCCTCACCCCCTCTCCAGGCCTGGGAGGGGGCTGCAGTCGGGCAGCTTCCAGCAAGGACCCCCCCCCGCCCCCGCACCTCCCTACCCTGCAGGTTTGGCATCATTTTTCTCTCCCCTCCATCTTTTTCCAAGCAACGAATAAAACTTGGGTCAGCAAAAGAAACCAGAACAGAGGCAGCAGGCTCTGGATCTCCCACGATGCTTTTCTTCTTCGGGGGGTGGGGGGACATCAATCACAATTTTGTGTTTCTTTCTTACCCCCCCTTTCTCTTCCTGACCTCTCAAATATACTGGTGGCCACGAGCAAGTCGGCAAATGTTTCACACACCTGCAAATCATTTTTTTTAAAAAAAGAACTGTGGTTTGGGTACTGATTGTAATTTTATTTTATTTTTTATTATTTTTTGCCATTTTGAGATTTGCTCTGGGCCTCCTTCCAGAGTTAGGTTTTTCTGCAATGGAGCAATATCCAATTTCAGTTCAGATGCCGAAGGAAGCGCTTGCAATGCAGCCCCCAGCTGTTTAGCAGATGTTTTCAAAACATTGGCTGTCTGGGGACGAGAGAAACGGCCTTCACTGGATGCATGAAACCGGTAATTAAGTGCCAATAATCACCTGCATTGTTGTTATTACAAAACACAGGAGCATGGATCTATTAGGTGGAAGGGGTCAGCAAAGCATAGCACTTCCTTGGAGAATTTAATAAGTGCCACTTTATAAAACCTTAGTAATGCCACACTTGTAATACAGCACCCAGTTTTGGTCACCACACTATAAAAAAGAGGTTGAGACTCTAGAAAAAGTGCAGAGAAGAGCAACCAAGATGATGAGGGGACTGGAGGATAAAACATGCGATGAACGGTTGCAGGAACTGGGCCTGGCTGGTCTAGTGAAGAGAAGGACCAGGGGAGACATGAGAGCAGTCTTACGATATTTGAGGGGCTGCCACAGAGAGGAGGAAGGGGATCAAGCTATTTTCCAAGGTACCTGAAGGCCAGACAAGGAACAATGGATGGAAACTGACCAAGGAGAGATTCAACCTGGAAATAAGGATGAACTTTCTGACAGTGAGAACCATCAACCCGTGGAACAGAAGTTGCCTTCGGAAGTTGTGGGAGCTTCATCACTGGAAACTTTCAAGAAGAGACTGGGCTGCCATTTGTCAGAAATGGTGTAGGATCTTCTGCTTGGGTAGGGGGTTGGACTAGATGACCTACAAGGTCCCTTCCAACTCTGTTAATCTGTAATCTGAACTGGGTCTGGCTAACTAGTCTAAAGAAAAGAAGAATTAGGGGTGACACGATAGCAGTGTTCCAGTATCTGAGGGGCTGCCACAGAGAAGAGGGGATCAAGTTATTTTCCAAAGGACCAGAGGGCAGGACAAGGAACAATGAATGGAAACTAATCAAGGAGAAAAGCAACCTGGAATTAAGGAGAAACTTCCTAACAGTGAGGACAATTAACCAGTGGAACTGCTTGCCTCCATCACTGGAGGTTTTCAAGGAGAAATTGGGCAGCCACTTGTCAGGAATGGCCTGGGGTCTCCTGCTTGTGCAGGGGGTTGGACTAGAAGACCTCCAGGGTACCTTCCAACTTGATATCCTGATGTGTTTTGATGTAAATATTGTTCCAGGACTGTGGGATGCCTGGGGGAAGACCAAGACATGCTGGGGTGTAGGATACCTAAAGGATGGAGAGGCTGTGGGTGGCGGAGGGGAGCCCCACAACGCCTTGCCTTGCGAGGGAAGATTTTATATCTATTCATGGGCTCAACATTATTTTGCGGTTCCAAGCCACCTGGGAAAGAGGCTCCTGGCTCAGTTGCTCCTTAAATCCTAAACCTGCGGAGCCCCCTCGCCCTCTTCAAAGCTGCTGCTAAAAGCTGCGCTGCCAAATCCTCCTTCGAAGAAGTCAGTGGGAGCCCAAGGACACTTTCACGCAGGAGGCATCCCGGTGCGGGAGCCTGGCTCTCCCCAAAGCAGCTGGTAGCCCTTCCAAGGACCGAATTCAGGAGCCGGATCGAAGCGGCTGCAATTAAAGCAGCCCGATTGATCCAGCCGCCCCAGGTATTGATTTTGGGGCTGGAACGGTGAAACTCAAAACGTTAAATCAGCCATGCAGCTTTCCAGCCGCCCCGGGGTTGGAGGGTCCTCCAAAGCCTCCGAGGAAGGTCGAAGCCCCCTTGAAGCGCTTGCAAATCACAGACGCCTCAGCCACGCGCAATCTCCTTGACGGCTCTGCAAGCAGCAGCAGCAGGTTTGGGACGTGCGAATGGAAGCAGGTGCGGAGATCACAGCCGTCCTGCGGGGGTTCCCCCCCTCCCCCCGTCCGCCCCTTCAGGGAACAGCAGAGACGCCCGACCTTGGAGGCTTGTGGACTTCAACTCCCAGAATTCCCCACCCAGCGATGGCATTTGGATCTCCCTGGCCCAGGGACGGGGGAGGGTCGTCCCTGGAGGGAAAAAGGTCTTTAAGGCAGGATTCTTCTCATCTGATGGCAGGAATGGGAGTCATTTGACTAGGCGAGATCAAAACGCCAGGCCCTCCAGGGGAAAGGAGAGGAGAGGAGCTGGAAGGGACCTTGAGGGTCATCTAGCCCAACCCCCTGCTCAAGCAGGAGACCCTAGACCATTTCAGACAATCTCTTCTTAAACACCTCCAGTGTTGGAGCCCCCACAACTTCTGGTAGAGAGCAGTTCCAATGATTAATTGTTCTCCCTATTTCCAGGCTGTTTCTCTCTCCTTGGTTCGTTTCTATCCGTGGCTTCTTATCCTGCCTCCTTTCCCCCTGAAAGGCCCAGTCAAATTCAGACTCCTGAGCCTTGTATGTCTCTCTCTCTCTCTCTCTCTCTCTCTCTGTGTGTGTGTGTGTGTGCAACGCCCCCTCCCCCTCCCCATTTCCCCCATCTCTTGAATGCTGGTTGAAGCAACCAAGGAAACCATTTTCCCTGACCTAGATTTTCCCTGCGAATGCTGCCTTTATGTAACTGAATGTCAGCTGAAGGGGAGGGAAGTGCGAAGGCAGAGGCAGAATCCACTTGCAGGACGGGTTTGTGCTTGCGTGTCTTTTCCTCACCCCACAGCGCCTTAAAGCAGGAGCATCTGCCCCCCCCCCACCTTGAGGCCTTCCCAGCTGGCAGTGAAGAGCGGGTGGGCCCTCTCTGCTCCACTGGTTTCGAAAGAAGCTCTTCTAGAGAGACGGTCAGCTGGCAAGGACACTGCAGGGTCAGACCCAGAGGCTCTCCCACCCACAGCCGCAGTCAGCCTGATCCCCACCCCAGGAGCAGGACACGAAGGACCGGCCCTTCCCCCCTCCTGCTGCCCTCTCCAGCCGCTGGGATGGGGCAGCAGAAGATGGGCCCTTGAGGACTCCTCTGAGCAACCTCTGGGTCCTGCTCTCCTGGGCTGGCACCTGCCCTGCCCTACCACCCTCCTGGCTGCCCTGGAGGAGATGCTTCCTCTCCTTGCAGGCTTCGCACACACACACACACACACTCCTGTCCCACAGGAGAAGGCATGCAAAATATAAAACCGGATGGGTGCAGGGAGAAGAGGGGGTGCACGAAGCAGGGTTTGGGGGATCCCTCGCCAGGGAACAGCAGAGCCAGGATCTACTCTCAGTGGGTGGCATCAACCAGCATGGAATTAATTCAGGGGTCTCCCACCTCGGCCATTTTAAGACTTGTGGCTCTGCTGGCTGGGGAATTCTGGGAGTTGAAGTCCACACGTCTTAAGGAGGCCGAAGTTGGAGACACCGCCAGGAAATGCGAGGACTGGCTAAGGGCCCCTGGAAAGGAGAGCCGGGCAGATGCCTTCAGCCTGGGTGCCAGGAAAACTGGGTGGCTAACCTGGAAGGCATTTGGGGGAGACCTGCAGGGGCCTTCCCTTCCCTGCTTCCCTCGGAGGGCCACACAGGAGGCCGGGGTGCCCTCTGGGTCCCTCTTCTGGGCCCCCGGACTACAAGGCCCAGGCCAGGTGCCCAACCTGCCAGGATGGAGGGATTGAGTTCCCACGGAATTAATGACTTTTACCAAAAACTCAAGGCAGTGAACGCATCCAAGACCTCTTCCTCCCCCTATTTTCCCCACAACCACAACCCTGTGAGGTCGATCGGCCTGAGAGAGCAGGACCGGCCCAAAGTCACCCCACAATAAGAGGCAGCCGATAAGATAGTCCTTGACTTACGACGGTCCACCTAGCGACTGTTCAAAGTTACAACGGCACTGAACGGCACTAGGACCCTTTTCTGCACTTATGACCGTTGCAGCATCCCCGCAGTTACATGATTTACACTCAGTGGCAACTGACTCACATTTATGACGGTCGCAGCATCCAGAGGTTCACGTGATCTCCTTTTGCAACCTTCTGACAAGCAAAGCCACGTGGCTCTTCTCCCAAAGGGGCTTCATGTCCCAAGGCCAAAGCAAGGGGAACGCTGCAGTTGGCCCTCGCTGGGCACTCCTGCCATTTGCACTGGGGCAGAGCTGCCAACGCTGCACAATCTGTTCGGTGGCTGCCAGGCAGCATCAATTATGCAGGAGGCTTGAAGTTCACTCACAGTCGACAAACCTCCCTCTACACACACACACACACACACACACACACACACACACACACACGCAGTTGCTTAAGGACTAGAAACTTTATGTAAAGCATGAAATCGCAGGTTGCAAAGCCCAACCCCCAGCTAAAACCAGGAGATTCCTCAGGCTGTTCTGCTCTGCCTTGAAACCCCCGAGGGATGGACTCTCTCTCTCTCTCCCCAGGGGGGCAGCTTTTCTACAGCTTCACACAGGGAAGGAAATTCCTCCAGATTTTGAATTCAGATTTCCAGAAAATTTCCATTCCATTCTCTAGCTTCCAAATTGAAGCCCCCCCCCCGATTTTCTGTGCACCAGCATCTGCACAGTGCCCCATTCTGAACGGGGGCAGCTTCACCTGCCCTTTTTAAGCCATGCAGCCAGGCGAGGGGAAAAGCCCCCCAAGACTCCAGGAAGGCCCCCTACCCGTGCAGGGCGGGAGTGGGGGGGTCTCCTCTGGGGCTCTGCAAAGCCTCCCCGCACCTAAGACCAGGCCTCCCCCCGAATGGGGCAGAGGAGAGGAGCGGAGAGCCCCCCCCCTCGCGCAGCGGGGCCAAGGACGGGTCAGTGCCGGGCGCTTCTTATGCGCTGATCCGCTTAGCCAGCCTCGGAGGAGGCGAAGGAGGCCGCTCCGGTGGGGAGGGGGCGGGGGGGGGCTGCAGCGCCCGGGGGTTCGACCCACCCTCAGCCCAACCGGGGCTCCGCCCACCCAGGGACACCCCAAGGCCGGGGGCGGCCGAGGGGCCGGAGCCGGCTGTCCGTTCAGCACCCGCGGCCGAGGCGGGATGGGCCGGGGTCTTCTTCCCGCAGCAGCCCCGCCGCCTCTTCCCGCCCCGGGCATCGACCCTCCGGGCTCCGCAGCCGCCGCCAAGCCGGCTGGAGGGCTCTCGGGGGGCTCCGGCTGACGGTGGGCTCGGGCCGCGGGCCGGGATGGCCGTCGGGGAAGGGTCGGCGTCTCCCCCGCGCTGCCCGTCCGCCGCCCTCACCTCTGCTCCGCCGGCCGCTCCCTTCAGCGCAGCGCCGCCGGCCCGGTCCGCCCCCTCCGGGCGGCGGGGGTCGAGCGTGGGCGGGGGTCCCTCCGGCGGGGCCGGCCGCTTGCGAGGGGTCTGGGGGCGGCGGCGGCTGGAGCTCTGCCCGCGTCTCGGCTCGGCCCCTCCGCAGCCATAGCAATCGCCCGCAAAGCCCTCCTGGCGGGGGGAGGGCCGGGGAGAGGAGGGGCGGGGAGGGCGGCGCTTCCCGAGAGCCTCCTTCTGCAAGCGGGCGCCCGCCGGGGATTGCCTAGCGCCGCCTTCGCAGGGCGCTCCGTCGGTCGGCTGCGAGCGGGAGTTCCGGAGTCCGGCGGGGAGAAACGGGCGAGGGTCCGGCGGTCTACGGGGGCCAGGCCATCCCGCTGCCCCCGACCGCCCCCCTTAGCCTCCCCGGGGCTGCCCAGACCCCCCTCGAGTGCCCCCCCAGCTCTGCCCCCCGTGCATCTGCCCCCGCCCCCTGTTCCCCCAGGCCGGGAGGGCTCTAGGGCAGCCGGCTGGCGGGGAGGGCGGGGCAGCTGCTGGGGAAGGGGCTCCGGTCTTTCCCGGGGCAGCAGCTCTCCCCGCCATGCCAAGGGCCGTGGAGCAAAGCCAAGATCCCTCCGGAGAAAGGGGGCCACGGGGAGATCCAACTCGGCCGGTTTCCCGGCCCCGTGGAAACGAAACGAGCGAGCGGCGCAGCAGGCGAGGGGGGGAAGAAGTCTTGCTGCCCCCCCCCAAGGGCGCCGCTTGTGTGGTGGGGGCAAGTGGTCGCTCTTCTTGGCCACTTCAGCACCCTGGACTTCAACGTCCCGAATTCCCCAGGAAGCCACTTCTGAAAGGCTGCATTTGCCGGTTCTCCCCCTGGACCTGGAGCGCCCCCAACCCAATCCCGCCTCCTGCGCTTCAGGGCTCTGAATCCGCTGAAGAGACCCTAAAGCCCAGCTCGATATCCTGAAGGGTACTGGGGGGGGGATGGAGATATTGCCCACCCCTGCTTTTCTCTTACAAGCCCCCCTTTAAATGGGGAGACGGGAACTCTGGAGGGGAGGGGTCTCCGACCAAGGAGAAACCCCAGTTTTCATCCCCCCCATCTGCCCCCCGCCCCCCGACCGCCCCCCGCCCCCGTGTAATCGTGTGACCTCCGGGGTCCCCTTTGGAAAGAGACCCCGGAGAGCAGCGGAAGGGAAACGAAGCCCACGCAAGGGAGGGGTGAGAGGGGAGCCCCTGGGCCCCTGTTTCTCCACCTGGGAAACTGGAAGAAGGTTGGACTTCAACTCCCAGAAGTCTGTGCTGGCTGTGGAATTCTGGGAGTTGAGGTCCACCCTTCTCAAGTCGAGGAGGAAAACGAAGTTCTTGGCAGCTTCTCTCTCTCTCTCTCTCTCTCTCTCTCACACACACACCACACACACACACACACACACACACACACAACACACACCCCCGTTAGCCTAATTCCGCTGGGTGATAATAAACAGAAGGCACTCTGCACATGCTTCAGGTTACAGCACTCCCTTTAATAATGGTTTTTTTTCTCCTTTGATTATGGGCGTCTGCCAAGAGGAGGGGTTGTCTTGCTCTCCCCTCGCACGGAAAACGTTTAGTGTGGGCTGAGGTCACGGATGCGATCCTGGACCCATTGCTCTGAGGGATCGGCGCACATCTTAACATCTTTTTTTGTCACGAACCTGCAAAGGAGAAATGTTTGTTTTTAATCAAGACTATGGTTTAGCACTGGCTGGGGAATTCTGGGAGTTGAAGTCCCCCCCTCTTAAAACGCCCAAGGTTGAGACACACCGATTTAGCCCTTGGGTGAGAAAGAAGTTCAGAAATTCTGAATCTCTTGCAAAGTTGAACCACGTTTCCTGGGAAACTTACACGACGGCAGCCTTGCTGCATCTCCCGCTGGTGTAGTAGAAAGATTTCAAGAGTTTCAGTGGGATGGGGCGTCTCACGAAGTCAAAGCAGCAGGAGTTGGGCACCGGATCCACTGGGGAAGGAAAAAGAGAAGAGAATGGAGACGTTCTCCAGCCACCCAGGAGTGGGCAGGAAACTCTCTGCCTTCAGATTAGCAGCTCAAGAGCAACCAAAATGGTTAAGAGGCTGCAGGCTAAAGCATACAAAGAACGTTTGCAGGGATTGGCTTTGTCTAGTTTAACGAAAGAAGGATTGGGGGGGGACATGCAGCCTCCCAGTATTTGAGGGGCTGCCACAAGGAAGAGGGAACAATCAAGCGGGTGGGACTGCTTGCCACCAGAAGCTGTGAATGCTCCCACGCTGCAGGTTTCCAAGAAGAGATTGGACAGCCACTTGTCAGGAATAGTACCCAGGTCTCCTGCTTAGACGTGGGGTTGGACTAGAAGACCTCCGAGGTCCCTATGATTATATTCTTTAAGTGATAGAAAAAACGTGTGCTTGTGTGTAGATCCATCTCTGGACGACCCTCCCAGCAGGCGACCTTCCCCACCACAAGCAAGGATGCTGCTCAGCTCAGACCCTTCTGCAAAGCTTGCATTCTCGGGGTCCCCAGCTGTGCCCCATTACACGGGGAGAGGGGCCAAGCCCTGCCATGGGGGACCCTGCCTTCAACCCCACCTGCCGTTGGAGCAGCAGCCCCCCCCGCCTCCCCCCGTCTCCTCCTGTCTCAACCCTGGTCTGGCCCAGCAACATGGCAGAAGGGCAGGAGGCACCCCAGAGCTCTCCCCAGAGGAAGAGGCTGGGCTAGGAGCGCCCAGGGTCAGGAGGCAGAGTTGGGGTGATTTTCGGATGCTGGAAAGGGGAGGACGGAGAGGCTTACCATGCCGGTCTCTGGGCTGGGTGGGTTCGGGGGCTGCACCTGAAAGAGAGAGGCGGAGGGGGGCCTTGTAACTCCTTCAGCTCCCCCCCTTGCCCCCACGGCTGAGAGCGGAGCCGCTGGTGCCAGGAGAAAGCCCTTCAGGGGCCCTGGGGCCTCTGGGGGTCAAGAGAGGGTGGGCAGGAGGGGGCCCCACGGAATGAAGGACTCACTGGGACCCTCGACAGCCAGGGCGACGGAGACCACCAGGAACAGAAAGGCGAAGAGGCTCTTCATCTTCAAAGAGGGCAAGAAGAGCAGCTCCGGTCTGATCTCTCTGGCATCAGCACTGGGCACCCAGAGGCCTCTTTATAGAAACCGGCAGCTGCAGCCACGGGAAACACGTGGTGGGCTCCACCAGCAGGGTGTGGCCACGAAGGCTGTGTTGCCAGGGAGATGCTGTGGATGAGGGTTTTGCCCACAGAAACAGGGTCGGGACTGAAGCTTGTCTGAAGTGGTCTAGGATCTCCTGCTTGAGAGGGGGCTGGACTAGAAGACCTAAAAGGTCCCTTCCAGCTCTATTCCAATTCTGATTGACTGATGTTATGGTTGATAGTCAGGAAGACCATCTGAAAATAGCAGGGCAGCAAGTCTATCTTTCCCTCCCTCCCTCCCTCCCTGTATCCATCCATCCATCCATCCTTTCCTCCCTCCCTCCCTCGCTCCCTCCATCCATCCACGGACCTCAGAGACGGTGTTTGCAATGTTCTGAAGAAGAATCCATTCTGGTGGGAATCCATTTCCTGCACACCCTCATTTCTGAATATGAGCCAAGGCTCCAACGTTTTCTGCAAGAGCCACAAAGATGATGAGGGGACTGGAGGCTAAAACATACAATGAACGGTTGCAGGAACTGGGCCTGGCTAGTCTGATGAAAAGAAGGACCAGGGGTGACAGGATAGCAGTCTTCCAATATCTCAGAGGCTCCTCCCTGTGGCAGCCCCTCAAATATTGGAAGATGCTATCCTGTCTCCCGTGGTCCTTCTTTTCATCAGACTAGCCAGGCCCAGTTCCTGCAACCGTTCATTGTATGTTTTAGCCTCCAGTCCCCCAATCATCCTGGTTGCTCTTCTCTGCACTTTTTCTAGAGTCTCAACCTCTTTTTTACAGTGTGGGGACCAAAACTGGATGCAGTGCTCTAGGTGTGGCCTTACTAAGGCTTTATAGAGTGGTCTTAGTACCTCCCTTGATCTTGATTGTATCCCTCTGATAATGCAGTTTAGGATTGCCTTGGCTTTTCTGGCTGCCGCTGCACACGGCTGGCTCCTATTTAGCTGGTTGTCCACTAAGACTCCCAGATCCCCCTCACAGTCCCTGCTATTAAGCCTGGTTTCCCCCAGTTTATATCTGTGCTTTTGGTTTTGGGCTGAACTGATGTAGGGACTGAAATTCCTCCAATTTCTTTGCCGCTCCCTTTCCGAGGATGACAGGGCTGGAGAAGAACCGAGGCTCTTGGGGCTTTTCCACCAGGACCTGCCGAGACCAGGACAGCCACCTTCTCTTTGGGGTCCTTTGCTTCCCGTCTCAAAGGAAGGAAGGATCAAAGGCTGAAACACATGAGGAACGGCTGCAGGATTTGGGTCTGGCCAGTCCAAAGAAAAGAAGAATCAGGGGAGAGGTGATAGTAGCATTCCAGTGTTGGAGGGGCTGCCAGAAAGAAGAGGGGGTCAACCGATTTCCCAACGAAGGCGAGACAAGAAACAATGGTTGGAAACTAATCAAGGAGAGAAGCCCCCTCCTGACAGGGAGCACAATTCACCAGTGGAGGAGAAGTTGCCTCCAGGAGTTTTGGCTGCTCCAACACCGGAGGCTTTTCAAAAGAGATTTGGCAGCCATTTCTCTGGAATGGGAGAGAGTTTCCTGCCTGAGCAGGGGGTTGGACTAGAAGACCTCCAAAGGCCCTTCCAGCTCTATTCTGATTCTAAAGAAAATTGTCAGGTTTTATTCCACTGCTTTCAGCCCAGATCTGCAGCTTATTGAGATGGTTTTGGGGTTCCTCTCTGTCTTCTAGAATATTAACAGTCTCACGCAATTCTGCCTGATCTGCTCAAGCGGACACCTCTCCTCCACCTTCTCACCATTCGTGGAAACGTGGGAGTGCGGAGGAGCCGAGGGGAACGCCTGGCACCTGCCCCCTCCCCTCCCCTCCCCTCTCCGTGGAGGGGCCCGTGGAGGACCTGTTGGGAGCCAGCCAGGCAGCCAGAGGGCTCCTCCTTAGTCCTCGTGCCCTGCAGCCCACAAAAACCGAGCCTGCAAAAAAGGATGCTGCGAGATACTTATCGAGGCCTTGCTCAAACCAAGATATCTTTTATTTACAACCATTTCTCAATCTTTTCAGGAAGCAGTTTGATCCAAACGGGAGATATGATAAGGCAGCAAGATCAGTTCCTGGCAACCCCCCCGCCCCCCCCCCATGACTTCTGCTAATTGTGGTGCTGTTTTCAAAGTTCCTTTCTGCATGAGCAGCTCCAGAACTTTCCACGAAGTCAACATTTTGCTGAAGCCATTTGTAAAACGCCGAGATCTGCATTCCTTGTAAAAGAAGGAATCTGCCTTGCCAACTAAAGGACGACATCCGGGAAGAGAACAAAGGATTCTAGAAGTGAATCTAGCAGCTCAAGGGTTGGGGGTCGCCAAAACAACTTTGGATCCCTGGACCGTGGTCTCCACGGCCTCCATGATGGGCTGCTGGCAAGGGATGGGCTGCACCTCACAAAGACCGGGAAGAAGGTTTTCTCGACTTATCAAGGGCTCTTGGAACTCAAATTGAGGGGGGAGGGTGACCAATCTGTAGGATCTCATCTTCCTTATCTTCTCATCTTTTCCATCTACCCTACTACCTTCTCCTATTGGTATCTTATGGTTTATCCCTTGCTATTTGTATCGTATGATTAATGATTGTAACTATGATTTATGATCCATAAGCTATCACTTTTCTTATCTGTGGAGATTCTCAGTTTATCTCTATGGAGATTTTCTTGTTTGTATGTACACTGAGAGAGTCTGTAGCGGAGATAAATTCCTCGTGTGTCCAATCACATTTGGCCCATAAAGAATATTCCATTCTGCTTTGATCTGGCAGGGTGGACGCATACACTCTGAGTCCTGTCAGTCAAGTGGTGCCACCTCTCAGGACCTCAGAGAGATGCCTGCCCTCTGGAAGGAGCTTCCCCTGGGGTTGGGTGGCCTTCCGACGGGCTCCTTCTCCCAGGCTTTGAGCCAGAGCAAACGGAGCCCCTTGAGGGGTGTAAGATGTGTGTTGCTCATCAGATCTCCAAAATGGTCCAGGTTCTCCTGCTTGAACAGGGGGTTGGACTAGAAGACCTCCAAGGTCCCTTCCAGGTCTACTCTGATTGGTTGATTGATTGATTGATTGTAGCCTACTGTCTCCTGCTCGAGCTAGGTTGGACTAGAAGACCTCCAAGGTCCCTTCCCACCCTGTTTATTGCCTGTTTGTTGGGTTGCTTTGTGCCGTAGGTCTCTTAGAGCCAGTCAAAGCCCAGAGGCCTCTATGACCAATGCAACCATAAACAATGTCCAGGGGTGCCTTTATATGTAAACCCTTATTCGCCACCAGACCTTCCAGCAAAATCCACAGAAAGCAACAGCCGTCCTGCCCGTTCAATGCCTCCCCCTCCTTCTCACCAGATCCCTCTGTGCCAGGATGTGCTTGGGCCTCTCCCTCCCAGCCACCGCCAACAAGGCCCCTGGCCCAAAGCATTTATTTCTGCATTTATCCATTTATACAGCCGCCCCAACTCAATAGGTGACTCTGGGCGGCAAAAACAGAATTAAAACTGAACAAAAACAACAATAAACAATTATAAAAATTAAAATAACAGCAACTGAGGAACCAAAATCCCCATTAACTACCTGGACGAGGGAGTGGGTCCTTGCACCCTCTGGGGCCCGAGGGGACCCCTGGGCTCCAGCCTAGAACCGGGGCTGACGAAAAGCCAGCTGGGTTGGGGTCATTCTGCTTTCCGGAGGGAGAATGTCCCCCGAGGTGGGCACTGCAAGGAGCCCTCGACTTACGACCACAATTGAGCTCCAAATTTGCATTGCTAAGCGAGACAGCTGCTAAGTGAGTTTTGCCCCCTTTCACGACCTTTCCTGCCTCCACGTTAAGGGATTCCCTGCAATTGTTAAGTTAGTCACACAGCTGTTAAGTGACTCGTTGTTGTGACTTAAGGGATCATGTGACCCTGGGACACTGCGACCGTCATAAATGTGAATCAGTTGCCAAGCAAACACTCTTCAAGGGCAGGCCTGTGCAGAGCGCATTGCAGTAATCCAGACGAGAGGTGACAAGGGCATGGCTGATGGTGAGCAGGGCCTCTCGGTCTCGGAATGGGCGCAGTTGCCAACCGGAAGCTGTGCTGCCACCTGCCTTTTGAGCAGGAACCCTGAGTCCACGAGGACCCCCAGATTATACTGGCTGAAGCAGTACCCCCGCCCCCCATCCAAGATCAAGGCTGGACGGTTCCCAGCATCAGAAGGTCCAAGAACCCAGACCCACCTGGTCTTGGAAGAGAAGTTGCCTTCGGAAGTCGTGGGAGCTTCATCCCTGGAGGCGTTCAAGGGAGATTAGACTGCCATCTGTCAGAAACGGTGTAGGGTCTCCTGCTTGGGCAGGGGGTTGGACTAGATGACCTACAAGGTCCCTTCCAACTGTGTGATTCTGTTCTGTCTTGCTTGGTTGAGCTGAAGGGGCTGCACCCCATCCAGGCCTCCACAGCACAAGCGCCACTCAGGCCGCCTGCGGTGGAGATAAAACCTGGATATCATCCGCATGTTGGTGGTATCTCACCCCAAGCTGTCCAACATGCTGCCTGGTGCCTTCCGGGAGCTGAAGTCCACCCAGCTTCTTGTCCCTTTGGGTTAGCAACACTGTTCTCTCTCTCATTCTCTCCCTCCATTGTTTTTTAACAGATTAACAGAGTTGGAAGGGACCTTGTAGGTCATCTAGTCCAACCCCCCACCCAAGCAGAAAATTTCTCCTTATTTCCAGGTTGAATCTCTCCTTGGTCAGTTTCCATCCATTAGTCCTTGTCTGGCCTTCAGGTTCTTTGGAAAACAGCTTGGCCCCCTTCCTCCTCTCTGTGGCAGCCCCTCAAATATTGGAAGACTGCTATCTTATCTCCCCTGGTCCTTCTCTTCACTAGACCAGCCATGACCAGTTCCTGTAACAGTTCTTCATATGTTTTAGTCTCCAGTCCCCTCATCATCCTGGTTGCTCTTCTCTGCACTCTTTCCAGAGTCCCCACATCTTTTTTATAGTGTGGTGACCAAA